GGGAAAATCATTATTTAGTCCCTCGGGTTTGCCTTAATTATCTAAGTATTCCCTAACGTTTTATATAATGTATAACTAGTCCCTGACCTTTAACGCCGTCTAATTAAAAGATCCTTCCGTCTGAACATAGGGTGTTTTGCCGTTAAAATGACTTAAAAACAAAGAGAGAGATGAAATAATAAATTTATAAGGAAGCATTATACCCTTGTTGAACTGTCCATAAAAGAAAGGAGGTTTGACCGTATTAGATAGGAAAGAAAATCAGAAAATGCAAGAAAAAGTGAAATCACCCAAAATAGGATTTGCAGGTAACTAGAGAAGAGACAACCGACTATGTCTTCTTCAAGCGCAGCCGATCTTCAAGCGCAGCCGATGGAGCATGGGAATGAAGGTTTGTGAATATATATATTGCAAGTGTGGCAAAAAAACAGAAATTAGGATCTCAAAGACATAAAAAAATAAAAATCGGCTCTATTATTACTGTATTGATAATGCATGCAGGTCTTTCCTTGGATGGTGTAAAGCTATAGATTTATCAGATCAATCGCAAGGAAGCGATTTGGAAGTGAGGCAAAGAAGTGTAGCTATTGACTTATTTGAATTGAAGGATGAGATGTTGTTTCTCAAGAGGGAGCTGATGAAAATGTATACTGAGATTGTGATGATTGGAGGAAGAAGGGAGTGTTTAGAGTTGGAGATTGGCCGCTTGAAGAAGATGATTTGCATATGCATGATGGCTATCACGATGCTTTTTACCTTACTTGTAATTTTGCTCTACAAGGGTAACTGAGGATTGTGATTTATGTGTTTGTTTTTTTTTTTTGTATTTTGGGTACTTGGGTAGTTTTTGTAATGAGATGTTTTAATGTGGTGGGTTAGTTGTTAAATGTTATTAACTTAGGTGAGCACGGTCAATTTGCAGATGAATTGAATGTAATATACTTTTTGGAAGAAAATGTATACTTATTAACTCTAAACTCGTTTAGTGGTAAGTATCACAAATGCCTTGCAAAAAAAATATAGAAAAATATATACAAATAGTTTCATTCTCATTAATCAAATGTTTCCAATTCACAAAAGACAAAAACAACTTGTTTACATAATGTGCATTATAAAAAGAACTCAAATCAAACTTGGTTCACATGCACTGGAGTGTTTGCTATAATACACTTGCGTGTTTGCTGTCAAGAAAAAGACAGACATAAAGAGGAAAAAACAACATTGACACCCCCCTTATTCCCATCTAGTGTAACAGTACTCAGTAAACATCCTCTAAAAGGACCCTTGAGGAAGCATCCATCCAATCCAATGAGAGACCTATATCCCTCCAACAATCCCACTTTCATTGCTTTAAAACATATGAAAATGGAGATAAAAAGAAGTGGCTCATCCAAACTGTTCCTTGGCATTGATTTAAATTTTATGAAAGTTCCAGGGTTTGACATTTAAAGATGTGCAATGTATTTATGCAACTTATTGTAGCTCTCCTCATATGAACTTGCCACTTGCTCTCTAGCAGCTGTCCTTGCCTTATGCAACTTCATTGTACTCATCCTCCATGATGAACTTGGCCACTTGCTCCTCTAAGCAAGCATTGTCTTGCCTTATGAGCTGCCAATATTGAGCTTATGAAGCTGCCAATATTGAGTCTCAATGCCCCATTTTTCCTTCAACTCAACTTGCATTAAAGCAAAGCTCATTCCTGGATCAGCAGCCAATTGAGATTCCAATTTCTTCTTCACACACTTTGTTGTTGCATTTGGATTCTTGTTGTTTAATGGCCTCATGCATGTATGCTCAAGTTGTAGGGTTTTTTACTACAAAAGTGATTAAGTCTGGAGCTACACTAGCATGGAATCTAAATGGGCAACCCTCCCCCTTACATTTTGATGTCACTCTTCTACTATCATTCTTAATCATCCTTATTATGAGCCCTCCCCTAACAACATAATCCCTTAAAGCTTCTCTACAACTATCAACACTTAAGAATGTATGCCCAACTCTGAATTCAATATCACCTTCATCTTTCAATATCACCTTCATCTGGTGTTTCAAACATATTGTCATATATTTTATTCCAAGGATCTCCTGTTTTTTTTTTCTAACTCTTCTCCTTCTTGGTGCATCAACCTCCATCTTGGTGCATCAACCTCCATGTCACTACTTGCAGCTGACTATTCCTTGTCAGTATCAACATCACTGAGACCATCATCAACATCATTATTCAAGTCAATATTCTCTTCTGGATCTATTTCCACTCCCTCATGTGTTTCAGATTCACTACTCTCAACTTCAGTACCAGAAAAGACATAGTCATCATCTGTGGACTGGCTGTCAGTGACAGTTTCTGTTTCTCCCCCTTCCCCCTCCAATGGTTGTTCTTATTGTACCCTATGTCTAGAGCTATAAGAGGCTCCAACTGCAGTTGCTCTTTTCCCCTTCCTATTGTCCCTATTCACATTTGCCTCATGAATATTTGCCCTGCCTCTACATCGCCCTCTCCCCCTCCCTTTGCCCCTGCCTAAACCGTTTACATAGCTTGAATACTCAGTGTCATCAGCCAGCACATTATCCCATATCTGTGATCCTATCAAAATTTCTGCCCCCTTCCCCCTACCCCTACTTGTACCCTCTCTATTTCCAATCCCACCACCTACATTTTCTTGCTCAATAATAATCACATCTCCAAGATCCCCACTTATCTCAGTCTGTGACCCAATCTTAATCTCAGTCTGTGGACCCAATTTACTTTCGCCTCCCAACACCTTACCCTGGAACTTGCCTATTACGGGGACTGCAAATTATTCATGTGTAAACCCATATTATCTACACCTTGACTTCGAACATAATTGCATAACAACACTCCGGTTCACCTTTAGCTTTCTAAACCCAAATTTCCGTTAATATAAGCAGTTGTCCTTAGAATCTTTCAAACATTAAATTCACGTCTGCTCCGTTCTCAATATAGCTAATAAAATTTTCAGAACATGTATATCCACATTACAGTTCAATATAAGCAGTGTCCTTGAATCTTTCAAACATTAAAGTCACGTCTGCATCTTTCTCTATGCTATAATTTTCAGAACATGTAATATCCACATTCCTATCTTTTATCTTATGAACTTTGCATACATTTTGTAAGAGAACAATGTAGCTCATTCTGTCAGGTTATGCATCATACAAATACGTAGTATCCCCTTCATATATGACCCCAATAGTGTAACTTTCGAGCAAAGCCATCAAATTCAAGCTTTCCTACATTGCAATTTAACACATATGTTCAAAATAAGCATTAACGTTTGCAAAAACCCCAAATGCATTCTCATTATAGAAATAAGAACTCATAACGATGCTGGAGCATTTCAATATACCAAAAATCATCATCATAAAAATCCTAAAAAATATGGGTTTTCAATTTTTTCAAGAAAAAACTAAAATAGGTCTCAGTTTCTAGTATTTACCTCAAACACGAAGGTTCAAGATTGTGATTCCATGCAAACGAAGCACTACATGCTACGAGCACTCACTTCGTGTCGTCAAGAAACATCATTTTCTGGAAAAGTTCTTTAAAACATGAACTGGCGATTAAGAGGTTTTTGAGTGACAAGTTCTTGTTTTGGAGAATTTTCGTATCCCTCCTTGGAAGGTCATACTGGTCCACGTCAGCGAGGGAGGGATGTTTTAGTATTTTTCGTCTTCCATTAACGGCAAAACATCCCATTGTCAGACGTAATGACTTTTTAATTAGACAGAGTTAAAAGTCAGAGATGTGTTACATATTACATAAAACGACTGGGATTACTTAGATAATTATGGCAAACCTCAGGGATATAGAAATAATTTTTCCTAAATAAAATAATGTCATTAATTTTTCTTTTTCAAATTTTTTTTCCATTTTAGAGTAAATTATGTTTTTTATATCTATATAAATCTATAGATATATTTATTTACATCTATCTATTTTTCTTTTTCTTTTTTTTTCTATTTTCTATTACTTTCTAATTTAATTTTCTTTTTCTTTAGATACAATGGAGGTGGAATTAATATCATTAGTGATATTTTCAGTTTGTTCTAATAATTAATAATATTACTAATATTCTTTCAAATTAATAAAATATTTCAGTTTATTTTTTCAGTAATTAACGAAATTAATAATATCATTAACATTATTCCAAAGTAATAAATAAAATAATAATATTTTTATTTCTTTTTTAATAAAACTGTTCCTTTTCAATAATTAATAAAATTAATAATCTCATTAATATTTCTTAAATAATAAAGCATATTAACGAAATTGCATATGTATGCAATGCACAGAGACATAAGTAACTAGTATGTGTATACATATATTTTATATTATATGACAGAAAAATATGGGAATATTGCACATGAATGTAGTAGTATCATAACAAGAATTCAGAATCAAATTATCTGGCAAGTCAAATAATTATTAAGATGTTAATTACTAGTCATTAAGGGTTCATTTGGTGGAAGCATTACTTTAATTAGGTTTTTATACGCTATATAAAAGCAGGGAAATATACATATATATATTATATACTATATTCACATCCAACGGTCAAAATCTATGCAGTGGAGCGGTCAGAGGTGGGTAAAAGAGCAATATGGGACGTCCATGTGGCATGAGGCATATGTTAAAAAAAATATTATAAATTTAAATAAACAAAACTAGTTAGGTATGCAACACCTGAAAGAATGCTTGTGTTGTGGGTTACCGGTAAATTAGTTATTTTTCCTAGGGCTAATTAGTTAATTAGTTAAAAGCTAACTAAAGCTAACTAAGCACTTTGACCTTCACCTTTAATTATGTATATGTTATAGTTATTTAAAAACGAAAAATGTCACCGTCCAACATATCTCACCCCAACGGCTAATAATAAAAAAGGAAACAAATTAAAGGAGTTGACATTGCATGGCGGGAAAACTTGCTATAAATAGACCTAATTAGCAACTTCTTTTGCAGCCACATTAACAGCAGACATAGCCAAAGCATTCACACTATCAACACCTCCTCTCTTTCTCTCTTTTCCTGTTTCTTTGCTTCAATGACGATTCCAGTGATTGATTTCTCTAAAGTGAAAAGCTCTGGTGAGGAGAGAGCGAAAACAATGGCTCAGATCGCTAATGGGTGCGAGGAATGGGGATTTTTCCAGGTATTTTTTAACAGTTTCAAGAAGTTCAAAGATTTTTACTATTCTAGATCATGATGGTCTGAAATGGATTTCTAAATTTGTGTTTTCTCATATGATGCTTGCCGTTGCAGATTGTGAACCATGGAATTCCGGAGGAGCTTCTTGAGAGGGTGAAGAAGGTTTGCTCAGAGTTCTACAGGCTGGAAAGAGAAGAAAATTTCAAGAAATCGAAACTGATGAAGACCGCAAATGATTTAGCAGGGAAGAAAAATGGAGAGAAACTGGAGAATGTAGACTGGGAAGATGTCATCACTCTCTTGGATGATAATCAATGGCCTTCAGAAACCCCTGAATTCAAGTAAGTATCTATATAACTAATATCTATTAAATTTACCAATGAGTTTCAGCTTAGTGAATCACAGCTAAATCTAACCCTAATAGGATTTGGAAACTAATTTAGCACTGCAATTTTCAAGAAACTATGCGAAGAAAAGGAAGTACAGTGTGTGATCTAAGTTTTTCGTGTTCATGACAGGGAAACAATGGCAGAATACAGAGCTGAACTGAAAAAACTGGCAGAGAGAGTAATGGAAGTCATGGATGAGAACTTAGGCTTACCAAAAGGATACATCAAGAAGGCATTCAATGGTGGAGAAGGAGACAACGCCTTCTTTGGAACTAAAGTTAGCCACTATCCACCATGTCCTCATCCTGAGCTAGTGAATGGTCTTAGAGCTCACACAGATGCTGGAGGTGTAATCTTACTCTTCCAGGATGATGAAGTTGGTGGCCTGCAAATCCTCAAAGGAGGACAATGGATTGATGTCCAGCCACTGAAAAACACTATTGTTATTAACACTGGTGACCAAATTGAGGTCCTAAGTAATGGGAGGTACAAGAGTACCTGGCACAGAGTTCTATCCACCGTAAACGGGAATAGAAGGTCAATTGCTTCATTCTATAACCCTTCCCTTAAGGCTACCATAGCTCCTGCACCAGAACTGGTGGAAAAAGCTAACCAGGAAATGAATCATCAAGAGTACCCTAAGTTCGTGTTTGGTGACTACATGTCTGTTTATGCTGAACAGAAGTTTCTCCCTAAAGAACCTAGGTTCCAAGCTGTGAGGGCTGTGTGATATTCAACTAGGTCCAGATTTATTACAGCTTTTCTTTTCTTTTTTCTTTTAAATTTGTCTTAAAGTTCTAGTTTATGGTTTAGCGACATAGGTTTGCCCAATGGCTAAAAAAAGCTTCATTCTCTCCCAGTTAAAAACATGTAGGAGAGAAAAGAAAGCTGGGTATCAGTGTGTTTGCTTTAGATTGATTCTCTTTCTGTTCATTATGTAATCAAGGGTAATTAATTATAATTACATGTGCTTGTTAATGTATGCTTTGTATAATAGAAATCATATATGCATATGGACAAACTAGATTGATTTTTCATTCTACAACTACTATACTGAGCTTGTCTCAACATTCAGTCTTTTTTTGCCCTAGAGTTCAACAGCTAACTTTATCAACTGGTTTGGTTCTTTGGTGGTGGTGGTGGTGGTGGTTGCTACTGTTGACCTGACAAGTGGGTTAAGAGCGATAATGGCAGAAACAGACATGTTCATATAGACACAACACAAGGGTTCAAAAGTGCGAAAGCTGGCTGGTGATACCTACCTAGTGACAGGAACAGAAGGGAAAAAGATCGCAGAGTTTCATACATAGCATCGCTACAATGAGTCTCTCTCTCTTTCACTTGACTACCTAGTTTCCTTTTTCTCAGTAAAAAGAAGTAAATCCTAGTCTGAGGAATAGCTAGTTTCTATAATGAATTGAATAGTCCTGTGTGTAGTACAATGATCTGGCAAGAACATAATCATTAAAAAGTTCAATGTACACACCTACTGCCAATTACTAATTTTTCTTACATCCATGTACAGCTTTGAATCTTCTAACCTGCCTATTCTATATATTTTTATATATTGGAAAAGTACCTAAAGGTCCAATATCATGAAGGCAATACAACATCAGTTGTATAAATAAGAAATCATCTTTATCACATGTCCTACTCTGCCTTCACACTTCCTAAATATTTTATATAGGCGAGTTTCCTCTATCCTAGACATTCCAACATAATAATAAATTAGACAGAAATAAAAAAATAACCAACTAGGACAAGAAAGCAAGAATCCATCGATCAAATTTAGATCTAGAAAAAGGTTGTGAGATTATATTTTATTGTCTGTAATTATTGACAGTATGTAATACAATTATTAAAGCTCAAAAAGGAAAAAGAAAAATATGGCAAATCCTAATTTCATCTGGGAGCCTATGTTGTGATGAATAATATTAACTCAGCGTTAGTAAAATTTTCTGTGGTCATTTATAATTTAGAGTCTGTACAGTAATTTACACAAACCTTAACCCTGACATGGAAATGGAATAGGATTCTCTTCAGTTTCAGAACCTTCAAAGGGCCTTCTGATCTAGCCTTTCATTCCAGTTCAGGCAGCGAATCAAGCTGCGGAACCAATCACCTGTTTGGTCACATTTGTTGACTGTTGGAAGTGGGTGCTGGCTCATGGATATCCGGACAGAATCCCCTCTTGAAAGTTGCTGCCTTCTCTTTCCATCAAAAGAAACCCACGCATTGCTTCTAGCATCCTCCGGAATCTACCAATGTCAAGAAATCATTAAATTGTCAGGGTGAAGAATACGAATATAAGGAAATGATCGCGTAGGCTTTAATTTACCTTTAACTCAAGCCTAGCAGAATCTGGAAGTATGACTGGCCTAAACGAGAGAGAGTGTGGACAGATTGGGGTAAACAGCATACAAGGAACATTTGGATGCACCTGCATTCCAGTATAAGTTATTTATCCATTGAAGTTAACAAGCACCAATAACCACAAGGAATATTTCTTGTTCCACATTAAAAATGCATTTCTTTTCAAAGAGAGAGAGAGATGAGGAGAAAATTCAGAGCATTCGAAGAAGGAAGAGAATGTAATTATTTTTTTATTGATTTTATTTCCCATTTTTCTTATCTTATTTTTCATCCCCAAGAGACGAAGCTATGTATTAAGTTATCAAATTTATTAAAAATAAATGCATATTGAATTTGGGAATTTTTAGAAATCAAAGTATTAACATGTTAATGCGAGAGCATAGACAGATTATGAAAAATTGGTCTAATTTCAAAAGAAAACCTGTTCTGGAGCTTGATTGATAGATGGGTTCAGATTAATGCCTCATGTTTCTGGTGAGTTATGCTTGTCGTAATTGAAAAACAAGGAGATTCACAAGTTTGGTGTGGAACAGATTATTGGTGTTTGACAACAAACGATGATTGTTTCATTAGCTGGAATTAGGTTTCAGGTTTTCAGGCAGCAAGAAAGTATAGTGTTTTTTCAAGGTTGTTCTGGATATTTAATTGATTGAAGGTCAGGGCTGGATATGCGGGGATAACTACCAACATATCTTTCAATCTATAAAACATTAAAAATTAAGAAAACAAAAGAACTTAATATTAAAGCCCAGATAACTTTCCTGCTTAGCACCCTAGGGTCCCAAGTTAATATTTCTTGTCACAACCGAGGAACAGATGCGACATCACAGATCAATCCAGAATTTTAATTACAATGACAAGATGTTTCTATAACTTTGTCTTGTACTATAAGTCATTCCTAATTGTGACTATCAAGCTTTTTGATCAGCGAACTCCTTGTCAAGCTAACAAATCAGCAGCCTTTTAAAAGTAGGACAATAAATCCTTGAGAACTTTTTCATTCTTAACAAACTCAACTGCATAGTCAGAAATCTGACATACCTCTTTAAGCATCCTCAACAGAATATAGTGCTGTAATGTTCTATATTGGCATTAAAAGTGTTCTGACTTCTTAGAACAATTTTCAGCTTTAATGTTTTTGACAAGATGCTGAACCTCTAGGCACATGATGCATTCTAATTGGTAGCGCTATGACAATGAATTAGCAAATGCCTACTCGTCGAACTCTTGAGCTTTGGTCTACTCACTCACTTTATTTGCCAGCTAGCTGTTGCTTAATAGGTTAGCTCTTTGCTATATTGATGAAAACCAATTCTATGATGCAACTTCTATTTATCTTTGAGAAACATGACACTTCAGATCTGAGCAGTGTTTGCCAGTCCTCTATGTTCTGGTTCATTCAAAGAAAATTCCCCAACCTAATGTCTCGTACCAACCCTTAATCCCCCAACTTTGTGACCTTCGACACTGAATTAATGAACATAGAAAATCAGAATTCCTTTCAGCATTATATAGCCACACAGTTGTTCAATAAGCTAGCCATTGTAAATGTCAAGAAAAATAAGCTGTTGCCCTGAAGGCAAAACAAGTTTCAACTAAAGAGCTGACAGAAAAATGAATCCAAAACCCGGGGCTTTTGCTTACCATGGAACCTCCAGCAGCTGTAGAGTATGCAGTACTTCCTGTAGGTGTGGCCACTATGACTCCATCACCTTGCACCTAAGAAACAATGTAGTCATCAGATAAAAGCATCAAAATGCCCAGAATATATGAGAATTTCTCTTATTAACACATTAAAAAATACAACATGCGAAGCCACTGAGGCAATATCAAATTGAGTCGTGGTGAGCATAAGATTGAATATAATGGGGAGAATGATAACAAATGTTTAAAAAAAATATGACTTTTAGGAAGTGAATTTTCTGACCTCACCTTGGTTATAAGTCGGTCATGTTCATAACATTCTATCTTAGAAAGATATGGATTAGAACCCCTATCAACAACCGCCTCATTTAGGATATCAAAAACTTTCCCAGGTACAGCTTTGCCATTGCGGAATATTTCACAACGGAGGCGCATTCTAAGAGTTATATAAACACCATCTAGTGTGTTATTACCATGGATAACCTGTCTCAAGTCCTGCTTGTAGTCGTCAAACTATGACAAGAAATGGAAAGAGAAGGCAGTAATCAAGCAAATGATATCATTTACTAGGCCTACAACAAAAAACTAAAAACAAAAAACAACTTGAAGTCAGAGCTTACACTGTGGGAAGTGAGAAATCCAAGAGATCCAAGATTAAAGGATACAACAGGGGGAACTGCACCTCTAAATAAATTTGATGCATGGAGTATAACCCCATCTCCCCCCAAGCATGCCACGAGATCAACCCTCTCATGGAGATCACTGCATCAGGGGAATCAAAAAGATACATAGATTACCAGTGAGATAAGGAACATTAAAGAGGCACATCAATATAATCTACTTCATCAAAATCTATATTACCTGGTGTCTTGACTGTAAAAGGTCTGAATAAATCCAAAGCCTGGGATCCTAGCAAATATGTCATGAACATCAGGTTCAACAAGAACATTCATTTTCTCTTGGTGATACAGGAAAGAAGCAACCTTCACAATGGATGCAGAACATGTGGTTAGAAAGACTAGATAGACATAAGGTGATTTCAGCACCGCTAGTGAAATATATAAATCATATATCCTTCAATGAAAATAATAGAAGGATAGGATGTCCACTTAAATACCTAATCCATGAGAAGGCATCCCTACCCTGAAACAAGACCCACTAAGATCATGCTGTTATTCTGATCTCCAATTTTGGAGTTCATGCATAAAAACATGAGCATGCTTAAAAACCAATCCGAGGAATGAAAACCCTATAGCTTGAGGAAGTAAAGATTATCACTTTCCATAAGTGCAGTTTTGTGTTAATGACTTAACATTAACAAAGATAAGGGGCATAAAAGGTTAACATCATTGAGCCATCAATGTTATCCATTGATGGATAAATAAAGTTATGTTGGTCCAGAAATAGTCATTCACTCATCTTCAACTCATATTTATCTTCAAGTCCACAAGGATTTTTTTTTCCCTCTACCCCATTCCCAAAAGCAGACCTACGTCAGGCTAACCTTTCTTTGAAACACTGGATAGCCCTGGGTACATGAATTAAGCTAAACCCAACTAGAAACTAATGAAGTGAGGCCTGGTAACTGTGTGGCAAAATAAGGCAGAAGCAAGGAGACTGATAACAGTCAATATATGACTAGGCTGTCAAAAAATGATCCAATCAAAATCCAAAATAGTTTCCTTGTGTACTGAGTTTTGATCCTGTCAAATTTCCCTGTATCCTCAACTGACAAAGTGTTAGGATATAAAGTTAAATGATCACTTTCTAGTTTCTCAAAATTGTTGAGAAATCCAATTCAAGGATTACTATTTCTAGGCCTAATTTGCAGCCTTCAACCCTGTTGGCAGATCCTGAAGTTGTGAAAGCATTGTTCAGAGTGAATCCTTGCATGCACTCTCCATTCCCACTTCTAACTTCCCAGTGCCACAGAACCTGATGCAGAATGTTATGCCTTCTGCACTTCCATCAGTACTCATTTATCACTGCACCAGCAGTATCTCACAAGAATATCTCTTTTATGTGGCAAGAAAGATCCACTTCAATGTCTTTTCAGATTTCCCCACTTTGAACAAAATGAGATGACTGAGGCAAAGTTCAGCTCAGAAAAGTATTACCACCAGATGTTCCAAGGTGATTGAGCGAACAAAGGGTTTATTTGAGAGAAGTTGACTGCAGAATGCCTAATGAATCGCAGGCACGGAGTGAGAATTAATTGGTAAACACATTGATTTTCCTCTACTGCGGTGGAAAGGCTCATTGTAGGACAATAAAATGCAAGACTCTTTTAGATATTCTCAATGAGAAACTTCATATTTGTAATCAATTTCAATAACCAACAGAGCTTAGGCAAATAGCATATGCCTCCTTGGCCATTAGATTCGATTCTGGACCATTAGTCCTTGGAATATTATGTTCATAAACATAAGGTGCGAGTATAAGCTTTCTAAAATTAACAACACACCTATCAGAACCCTCCTCGAAACTAAGTCCAATGCTGAAAGATTTGCTATAAATAGATGAACTGGAGTTAGCATGCAAAAAAAGCTCAGGCCTGCAATTGGAACTCACATATTGCACTATCATATTCAGCAGCCTAACAGTAATAACATCCATAAAAATATGATTTAGAAAATAATAGCGAATTAACAGAGGAGAAAGTTTCCATCAATTACTAAGGCTTTTGCATGTTACCTCTTTAGCTTCTTCCATGAGTTCTTGTCCCAGCTTCTTTAGCAACAAAACAGTCTTTGGTGTTGATTTCCACATAAGCATCTGTTGCTGGGTACTTGGATGAGTGAAGGCCAAGGAAGATTCAGTAACCTTTTCTCTGGTGCAAGAAAATCCATCAGTTCGAACAAGAAACATTTCTGCTTTCTTTCTTGACTGCACTCTTACAACACCAGTTGCAGAAGCACACATGTTTCCTTCAATTGAGCCCAACTCATCATCACTGAGGCCTGAGGATGCAACTCCATTTTTTTTGTGAACCTCCTCAATAGATTTAGATGTAACATGCTCCTTCAAGCTGTCACTCACAGTGGTATTGACATTAGTTTCAGGAACAGAATACCTCTCCCTTTCATCAACTGCATTCAAACCTGAACCAACAGAAATAAAGCTATTGCCTTTCAGATGCTTCAGACCTTCAACATATGAGCTCTTACGATCTGGAGATAGATTTCCATTACTAACTGATCCATTGGATCTCTTTGTCTCCCCAAGTCCTGATATAGGATCAACGTCCTTAATCTCACGTGTTTTTACCATCCCAATATGTCTCTCTCCTGAAACAGGCAACTTTTTGAACTTACTGAATCGATAGTTAGAGTACCTAGGAGGTGAAACTCTTTTAGTCCTAAAAAACTGGGACATCTCTTCTTTGGAGAAAATATTGCAAGGAGGAACTTGTGCCTTGAGAGGATCAGTTTCCCTGCGGATGTTTACTGAAGGTCTTCCTCCCTTATCAACTGTTTCTGTGGATGCTGTACCCTGAACAGATACAAAACCATTGTCGGTCCCATTAATGCTTTGGCCTGTTTCATCCCTAAATGAAGAGACAACTTCATGAGACACTCCATTGGTACCATGAAGGTTATCCAAAGCCTGTTGCAGTGATCCATTTTCCTGTTCCATGAGGGACCTCTCTTCTGTAACAGAAGGTGCTTGCGATTCTCTGGTTTCATTTGTTTCTTGCGGTCCTGAATCACTGCGGGTAATAAACTGAGATGCACTACGATTCATGTACTGCCTCCATCTGGATATCATTGCAGAAGTTCTCCATGCTCCTTCCTTACTATGAAGATAGATGGGCTTTTTGCTGCAATCTGAAACCAAAGATGCAAACTTCTCAACATGCTCCACCGAAGGCGCCATCATAACTTCAACAGGAATTTTAATCAATTCAACCTTTCCAGACAAGATAGCAGCATCCACAGCCTCTTGATAAAAATTATCCTTTATAATCTCTGCTCTGAGATCTATAATAGTTTTGAATCCTTTCTCCAGTAACCAATTCAAACCTTCTTCGGTTACCTGACCACCTTTCCAAAATGCTACATCAGAATGTTTGGAAGCTATGTCTTCTTTAGAACTAGATAAATGAACAGGACTCCAATTTGCAAAAAGTGTATGACAAGGGTAATCATCAAGGCGGGGATAACCAGAATCATAGCAGACATTCTTCAGCCTCTGCAATTTCCTCCATACATCAAGGCTTCGACCATCATCAGGTGTTAAATAGTTTTCAAGAGCAACATGCAAACTCTCACAACACCTTTTCATCTCACTCCGAAAAATGGCAAGTGGAGGAAGCTTATCCTCCATAAAGCTTACATCTGAAGAAAAGGAAGTCATAATGGAAGCTCTTCCAGAAAGAACATCCTCTTTTCCTCTATTCAAAAGTGATAGCATGCAACCAAGGACGGACACTATTTTGTCCTCCAATAATGGTTTTTCCTCTGGTGAGAAATCATATGAAACACTGCATTCCCCAGTCACAGGATTGCACAATGTGTCCATCAATGCAGCATGAAGCCGTTCGGCTGTTCTAAATATTCTACAATATGCCTCAACTTCAGCAATATCTCCAGGAACCGGACCAATCCAAGGCAACTGAGATATATCATGAGGCTGGACAATCTTATAATCAGAATAAAGACTTGTCAGTCTAATCAAAATAAATTGAACGGGGAAACCTACATTATATAATACAATTTTGAATGTAAAAAAAAAAAAATGCATTTAAAGGGCAAAACAGGAGCTATAACTACTGCAAAATTTAAGTTAATTTCAATTAAGTGATCACTCAGACGAGCCATGCAATGTCAATCAAAGTTTTGATTGTGACACAAATTTTAATGATCCATTAGAGGCTTCAAACGACTAAGAGAGGAGCAGCATCAAGTTTCCACATAATTATGTGAAAAGGTGCACGTTCCCAATAATCTAAAGTATATAGTTCCACTTTTCCATACAGACTTCAGTATTGATTATTAAAAGAATAAAGATCACATCCCTGAATTGCAAATTCAATGCATAAAATGGGAATAACCAAAATCTAGCATTATTACACTCAGATTATCAAAAGAATTAAACAGAGCAGAATAAACCCACGACAAATACTCACTTTCCCAAGACTCCTTAAACCACTGCATATTACTCTAAACTCAGTCATTTCATCAAACACCAAACACGAAAACAAACAAATAACAGATTTTTTTTTTTTTTTTTCACCAAAGCATTAAAAATCATATATAAAAAGACAGTAGTAACAGAAAGCAAATCACCTGAGAGTCCCAATCGAAATTAACAGAGAATGCTCTCGACAACTCCGCATTTACAACAAACTTAAGCTTCCTCTTGAACCGATCCTTTACCTGCAACTCAAAACCAAACCCGGAACCCACAAACTTAGCATCTCTATTGAGTTTATAAGAGCACAAACAAGGTAATACTCCAGTGACCGGAGATAACTGATTCATGGCGACGAAGGACACGTGGCAAAAGAAGAGACATGCCACCATATGGAATCAAATAAAGTGAGTTGAAAACAGTTTTCCCCCGTTTATTAAAATAAATTTGTGAGTCGGTAAAAAGGGAAAAACAAGAACTTTATAATGTTTGGATGATGGGAAAGTGACGGATTATTAGAGGATGTGGATAATATCGTTAGGAAAATGGCGGGTGGTGGAATAAACAGTTAGAAGAAGGAGAAGAAGAGCAAGAATTATTGAGAATTTGGAGGGATATTATTGGTGCTTGTGGTGGTGGGTTTTTTTGTGTTTTTTGGGTCATTTCCTCTTTCAAAGCTGTCCCTTTTGAGTTTTGATTTGATTGCCATTGTCATTTTGTTTTTTAAGTTCTGAGTTGTTTGTACACGCGCGCATTAGGGTTTTTGTTTATATGTAATGTACGTAAATTCTCGTTGATAACATCTTTATCATCTTGAAAATGAAAATTAGGGAAAAGAAAATTCCAATTTTGATTTAATTTTTTTTCTTAATTGAATTTTCTATGGTCAATATTGAGCATTTGAATGTTTGCCTTCAAATTGAAGAAAAAAAAAAAAAGAAAGAAAAGGAAAGAAAAATATTTTCAACTCAAATTTTAATTTGGCGTTCACTAGGTTAAAAATAAAGGGTCTATTTCTTATGTGAAAAAAAATATTATTAAAATATGAATTGGAAAATGAAAAATTGTCATAAAAAGTTTGAAATTATTAGTTTCAGTTTGAAAACTAAAATTAGACAAAAAAAAAAAAAAATTCAATTTTATGATTTTTTTTTAAATGCTGTAATATGAACAATCAAAAAAAAAAAAAAAAAAAAATATGCATTGAGAAAATGAAAATTGTCATAAAATGTTTAGAAATATTATTAGTTTCAGTATTGAAAACTACAAATTAGACAAAAAAAAAAAAAATTTAATTTTATGATTTTTTTTTAAATGCTGTAATATGAACAATCAAAAAAAAAAAAAAAAGAATAGTAGGAGTTGAATATTGAAAAACACCAGAAATTTAAGAGATTATTTTAATGAAATAGTTTTAAAATTATCATTTTGAATAATATAACAAAGGGATTAAATATAAGTTGAGAGTTCTTCTTAAAAAAAAAAAAAAAAAGAATAAGTAGGAGTGATATTGAAAGAAATTAAGAGTTTAATGAAAAGTTTTAAAAATTATCATTTTGAAAACTATAACAAAGGATTAAATATAAGTTGAGAGTTCTTCTTTCAGTATTTGATTTCACAAACTTTTTTTAAATTATTTCAGATTGAATTCTTAAAATATAAACCTTTCTTAAAATATAAACCTGCACCAAATTACAACCAAACCATTATCTAATCCATCATTTTTTATTAAGGATAAAATTTTAAAAACTACTTAATTTTCTAAAAGTTCTCTTCAAATTTGTGGATTTTATTTTCTGACCAAAAAATGCAGCCCAAAATTTACGAATTTCTAGTGTAATGAAATAATATATAATATTAATAAAATGCATTTACAGTATAAAAAAGAGTTATTTCTATATTTTAAATATAATAAAAAAATATAAAGTACAAAGTTGAGTTCATATATCGGACAATTGTCAATTGCTGCTATTTCCTAATTTCGGTCCGATCTTAAATCCGTCTGTAGAGACTGCTGGAGTAGAGATAACAGTAATAGTATCATCCCCCATTCACGAGTGCCAACCTTTTTCACTTATTCTCATGCCATTGCCCCTGACATGGAACGAAAATATCACACGTGCCATCTGTTTATATCATGTTGATTCATGTTAACAAAATGGAGTGATCTAGATGCAAAAAAAGAAAGAAAAGGAAACACCATAGAAATAATACGAACCATTGTACTCTATTCGGCAATAAATTTTGAACTAGCTTTTAACGTGTTGATCAAGTCAACTCTGTTTCTATTAATTGTAACGTTCAGTAATATAGTTTTTATAATAGTTATTAGACGTTGAAGGAGTTCTTTTAATGAATCATTAAACACTCTAACCATTACAACAACAGCTAGTATTGCCAAACAGAGCCTGTATATAATTATATTTTGTATTTCATGTAAAATGCCTGATTCTATAAAACATTACCTCACAAGCTGCATACTGATTACATTTTGCTATCCAAGTCTTATCTACACTTGACTGTTCATCTTAGCAAGGTTGAAACTTGAAGTGATGCCGGCAAAAACATTTACCCTGATTAGCTACAAGCAAGGTTAGATTTGCAATCGAACCTTCCCTCAGTATTTGTCTGTTGCTACACAAATTTTACTACTTTTACAGGGATCTGCCGAGCTGTCTTCCACCCTAGGATATGGAACTTCGAGTGCGAACCCTGTCTATAAGCATTTGCCTGCCTGACAAATCTTCTTCATACCCAACAACCTGCATTGACAATTTCAAGCACAACCATCATTTGGAACACCCGCCTAAAGGCGACAAAGTACTTGAAAATAAAATATCAGCGAGATAATCGAGCAACCAACAATTTGCAGATGAGTGAAGAGCAGAAACCTGAGAATCTGTTTGAGTTTCACTGAACCCATCGTACATTCCGTTGTTTCCATCTTTAGAACTAGCAGGAGTAGATAACTCATCTCTTTTCCCAGGTCTGAGAAGAACACAAGCATAAAAGAGAAGTCAAAAGAGGATAAAACCCGGAATGGGTTTTAAATAACAAAATTTATCATCAAATTACAGGACATAAAATATCATGTTCAACCAATAATTTGACCTGATAACATTTATAGAGTTACAGACATCAATAATTCACAAAATAATGAGGTTACCTGTTTAACCAATGTTTAGGTAACCCAATGACAGAATGAGAGCCCCGATGCTCTTCACCAAGCACTGAATCAGATGGATAAAGCTACTCTGCTATCAAGGATCAAACAGAAGCAGATATTGAGCATTATATATGAAAAAGAATAATCAGAGGATACAAGGATACATTTTCATCATGCTGAGTCCTCTCTGGTGACTTATGATCATGAATCTGTAAGTAAAGAAGATACGGAATAAATTAATAAATAAACTAAATGTCAAAACAAGAAAATTAGCAGTTAGCAGTCATTTAACCTTGCTTGTCTGCTCTAGCAAGTCCTCAATGACAGCAGCTACATCAGAAACACAGGAAGATGATTCTTTGTTATCTTTTGAATTGTTTCCTCCACTGGAATTTATGTTGCATATAGAATCACTTAAATGAACTCCAGAAGAAAGCAAACTCTTCTGGCCTCCACTTTCCAAAAGCCTTGCCTTTTTAGAGAAATCACTAGATTTCCGGACCTCTTCCCCAAAGCTGGTAATGCTAGTGCCACCAATCTGAGTTGGTTCACTTTTAAGGTCTTGTGACTGGCTTGTATACTGAGACACTCCAGATATCATTTGAGCAGGTTGTGTAGGAAATTGGCTCACAATGCATAGTCCTGCCACTTGGTCTTGAGAAGTAACTACTTTTGGCCGAAATTGATCCACTGCAACGACTTCATTCTGCCAAAAGATTAGTTTGTAAGCAGATATTTTGACATGCCAAAACTAATTATCACACAAGAACAAAGAGTATCAAGAATATACCCGCCTGACACACTCGTAAATCCACTCAGATGTAATCAAGCATATTCCCCATCTACAAGCAGCTTCGTACTTTTCGCCAATGGTAAACTTGCATAATAGATGGGTAACCTTTCTAGTCAGTTTCTCCACAAATTTGGCTCCAAGGACAAAGCACAAGTTTCTTAATAGGGACCTGTCTTTGCCTTCATACTGCGAGATGCAGAACCGGAAGTTTCTAAAACCAGGAAAAGGAATCTGGCAGGGAAGAGGGGAATATATGATATGACGGCCAACATCCAGCAAGCATTTGTCCTTCAGTAGCAATATAATTATTAGAAATTTTAATGGACTGGATTGGCAGATATCTAAAAGAATAAACAACTTTTCAACTTAATCTATCAATTAAGCATAAGAAGCTGTAGACATTGCAGTAACAACAGAACTATAAGACAAGAATAGCTGACTCTAGTTCAACTCCAGTTGTTAACCCTAAGTAGAGAAATGTTACTTAAGATGATTATAAATAATATAAAATTCATGATGACAAGTTGTGAAAGGAACCTAAAAACTAATTAGGAGTAAAATCTATGACCCGATCTGAAAGATAACCACAGAATCTTTTCCTAAGAGATCTCTAACTGAAAACTGAAGTTCCCTTCTTCCACTCCTTTCCATGCATGCCTAATAATAATAAAGGTCCATATAGTAGAATATATGAAACATAAGATTAGTATGAAGGACAATAAAAAAAAAAAGTGCTCAAATGCCAGCTTTTTTCTTACATCCTGTTGAGAGAATTTATTGTAATTGTATTTCATGTATCTCATCAATCGATTACATAGGTCTATATATAAGGAATTCCTATGCTACCTAGCTATTTAGGAATACAAATCACTATGCTAGCCTAGTATTTAGGAATACAAATCATACAACTAATTAGAATATAACTCCTAATAGAACTCTCATTTTTAAACAATAATCCTTTAACCACTCGCCCCTCCAAGTTTGGAGCATAGATGTTATCCGTGCTCAATCTTGTTTACACAACTACTCTTTCAGTCAAAGCACAAATACGCATTAGTCAGCACAGTACCCCTTCATTATGCAATATAGAATCTCAAACAACTAGTAGCAGCAGAATTAAACAACACACATAGGTTGTCGAAACAAAATCTCACTGAACCAGAAACAACTTCACAGGGCTGTTTCAAGCTTCCATATTTAAATCGACCTCAAAGAGGAAGCCCCAGTAGCGCGCAAATTATTAAGAGGGACACGCAGCAAGGAAACTCTGGCATAACACGGAGCCTGGCAAACGGAGCACACCACTGAAGGCCAAGAACACAATGCAACTCAATGGGGTTGCACTGCTCTCGACAAAGGAGAAGGTTCAAAAGCAGAATACCCACAACTGCAGCAAAGGTGCAGTACCAAACCCTAATGCAATAAGGAATCACTAGAAAATCACCGAAAATTATCTAAAACAATTGTCACAACAAAGGAAAAAATAGGTTTCCTCAGCTAATTAAAGCAACAATAATAGCAGAAGACTGCCCGACACAGCTGCAACAGAATCATAGCAAACAAACCTATTGAATAAGCCCAAGAATGACGATGCAACTCACTGGGTTGCACATCTCTCTTCAAGTCAACGCTGAAGAGAGGAACTTGAGTGAAAAAGACCACTGGACATGCGCCAGCGCATGAACCAGAGTAGGAAGAAAGAGATATCCAAAATCAAATAGCCTTTCAACGCAAATAGGAGCAAAAAGTAAAAAGTAACCTAAAACGCTAAATCGACAAAACTGAGAACGCTACTACCAAAACTTCGCTGGATTGGAAAAACAACCACCTGAGTAGACCGCTGACGTGGAAACGAAGCCAGAGGACTTATTTCCAATCGCCGGAAACAGCTGCCATGCATCAGCGCGTGGTACTGTAGCAGAAAACAGAATCGACGCGTGAGGCCCACACGCAGGAAATCCAGTGACCGGATTTGGAGGGAACACCGATCGGTAGCTGGAGAATATCCTGAGGTCAGTGGTGAGACAAAATACTAACCCTAGAAAGGCTTCCTAGGGTGGCAATGGCTTCTCGCGAGGGAAGTTTCGGGGAATTTCTCCTTTTTTTTTTTTTTTTTTTTTTTTTTTTTTTTTTTTTTTTGAATGGAGGCTCTGATAAGAATTTATTGTAATTGTATTTCGTGTATCTCATCAATCGATTACATAAGTCTATATATAAGGAATTCCTATGCTACCTAGCTATTTAGGAATACAGATCGTAAACTAATTAGGAATCTAACTCCTAATAGAACTCTATTTACAACTAATCCTTAACACATCCCAATGTTTCTCATTCTTGTAAACTATTCACGCAAATTCCCGAAGTTTAAAGTTCCATTCATATCTAATCATGCCATGATGAAAAAAAGAATACTGAACAAGAATAATTTAGCAATTCAGTGAAGCATACCTCTAAACAAGAATGGACCCAATGACTGGATACATAAGTAGTTTCTGGAACATCGACAGACCTTGGTGTCACACCATGGCATTCAATGGTGAAGTGCACATTTTCCTTCACGTGATCTTCCAGCATCTCCCCTCCCCCTTGACTCACCCATTGAACAATTTCAGCTCTCTGGTACAAAAAAATAAAATCCAAGAAAATAACCAGTTGAAAAACATCAGAGAAGTATTTTAAAACTAAGAATGTGGACTTCTAGCGTGAATTCAGATCAGAAAGCAAGAAAATATAAATATAGCACAAAGTAAAGTAATCAAGTCAAGCTAAGAGAAGATAAGATAAACTAAGAGAAGAGTTGCTTGAAACATCAGGGGAACAACTGAATGCCACAAAACCCAGTGTCTGGTTAACTGTAATTTCAACAAATAAATTCCAAAAAATTAATTTCAATTTACTTACCCTATCTTCAGGAAAAGAATTCGAAAAGCAGAATGTTTTCCCCTTAAAAACAGATAATGGCTTCAGATTTTGGTCACTAGAATCAAGTTGCATCTTCTTTTCATTCTTCTTTTTATCATTAACAACTGAAAATAGGTTCTGCTGGGACTGCCTCACAGTTGCTTCCAGAGGCTTGCCCGCATTTATTTTGATTCCTGGTTTCTCTTCTCTGTTGTTCTCCAATGATGATGGCATCCCATTGCCAACGTTTGCACTACCCACTAACTGATCAGAGCAGATGCTTGAATGGACACTGGAGAGTTTACCTTGATTCACACCAATCATGCCAACTACTGCTCCTCTAATGGAGCTCATAGAATCTACATAGTCAGGATATATAGTTAGAGAATATATATATATATATATGATGAAAAATCCTAAAAGATGACCATTAATCAACCCAATGAAATAAGGAAAAAACAACACAGTAACCAGATATCTCCAGCAGGAACATGAATAGGAAAAACAATAACAAAGAAAAACCAGCAGATGAATATCACAAAGCAATTAGAAAACCTTTAGGAAGTAGCAGATCGTAGGCGATATGCTGCCTGAGAACAGGGATTTCTTTCTTTTCATGATCACACTCTTCAAGCCAGACAGGTCTAACCACATTAATCACACCCAAAGCAGCAAGGCCCCTGAGCTCCTTCTTTTCACTGGGAGAACCATACGCATGTGTGAGACCAAGAGTTTAGAAAATTGAGTAAGACAGTCCTCAAATTCACCAAGTCTATTGGAGAGATTCAATCAACATAAAATACCATCACATCGAGATGACTGGTAAGTCGGCATGTAATACTAACACATGTAAAGCATTGATGAAAAGCACCCAAGAAACAGGTTAATAAATTATCAGATGACCAATAAATGCATTCATGAACTTGATATTTCCTGAATTCAGAGAAGACTTACACCTCTGTTGGAGCTCCAACTACAATGTGTGTCAATTTATCGTTGAATGACATATACCGGGAACCCCCACCTCTACGCACCATATTAACTAATTTACGCAACTCAGAAGCTTCAAAGCCAACAAGTGATATTCTGCACTCTGATAAGTACAGATCACTGTCTTCAGATTGAGAGTCATTGGCAACACAGACATCAAGGTTTGTTTCATTTATGGGGTGCACTGCAGGCATTTGTTTATCCCCCTCTTTCATAAATATAGGGGGATCAGAGAACATAGAAGACATGTTCTGTGACAGAGTAGCCTCCAAATCTGGATCTGAAAACCCAGATTCTGTGGCCCTTGAGGATGCTACAGATAATGAAGTAGCAGTACACTTGTCTTGGCTATGATGTGACATTGAGGAACCCTTCGCAGTTTTATTTGCAGCTATAGAACCACCTTGAACAGGATAGGAATCCTCATTGAGACATGCTACTCATCAAAAAAGATACATATACAGTCATTTGCTATCCTTACAATGCCTAAAATCCTTGCAGATGAAGAATTAAGGCTCCTTGATTAACAATGCAACTTTAATATATAGACACCACTAATGTAAAGCATTACCTCTTCTAGCAACAGACTGATCAAACCATCTCCGAGTTACAATTTGAATATGACCCCACCTTCGAGCAACCTTATACTTGTCACCTTCAGGAGCTTATGAGCAGTCAAGTGAACAAATGCATTCATTCTCAATTTATAATTCAGAAACATTTAAGAGACAAGATATTGCTGCAAGCACATAGAAAAATTGGCAGGAAAATGGTTCTAGAAAGGGGAGATAATTTGCTTTTCAATAACAAGTTAAACTGAAGAGAATTAAAATGCAGATAAGGTGTTTTAGGAACTCAATTATCTGTCACCTCAAGGCATACAAGAAGCAACAATAGGTTGAGCACTTTACCATATAATCTCAAAATTTCTACATCCACACTGCTGAGCACTTCTCCATTAGAGAATGTCACAACTTCCACATTCAACAGTTGCAAAGGTAAACAGATTGATAATGTTCACAGGCTCACTCACATAGGAAGCATAACGCTTGGACAGGTTAGGTTACTGGGGAAACATACATATTCATTCACACGTTACTATGTTTCACTTCATTTTGCAGTGTAGAAATCATAAAACTTAAGATAGGAACTCCGGAATTTTATAGATCAGCAAAACAAGATTTATAAGCCCTAAAATAACACTAGCACATGAACATGCATGCGTAAGTTTGTGTATTTGTGAGAGAGAGAAACGCTCAACAAAAGGAAACTGTAAAGTGGGTAATAAAAGAACAATTTTGGATGCATAAATAAAATACAGCCCTGAAACAGAAGGAAGACAAAGATCTATCATCCAATCCACACATCTCAAGAGTTGTTTCTTCAAGAAAAATAATTGAAGACAAGAGAAAAGTACTAAAGCTCAATCTAGAATATGAAATAAGTGATAGTGTGATATCAACAATGAAAGGCACAATGTGAACGAAATCAAGATATTTTCTTGGAACCATTAAAAGGATATATCACAAATCAAATGTGTGCACTTCTTGGTCAGTTCAGCAGAATATTTCCCACCATTTTGTGTTATAATTTTTCCAATCTCCTTCCGCTCATCTGAAAGAAGCCAGCAAACCAGTATTAGGAAAGATATAGATTATTAGAAACAATGATGGATAGCTTATATCATAACCTGCAGGTATTCTGGTGACACATATCATTAATCCAGAAAAGGGAAGAACCCTGTATGACTCTTGGGGAACAACACGGTGCTCATTCCAACATTGAGATAACCAATTAATAGTTAAAATTGGTTTCTTCAGATTATTTAAAGCCCACTGCAAGGGAGGAAAAAACCATTAAGTCAACACTTATTCAAATAAACCTGAATCTTCACAGTAAGAACAAAAAGCTTTAAATGATGTAAAGCGGATTAGCAATGACCATTTCTTGGCACCGTGGTAAAGGTTTGCACTCTCAAGTCCCAAAGGCATATGTACAGGACCAAACCTTGTGGATAGGTCACCTTATGTGCAAATCCAATTATTAGGACCATGTCTAGAAAACTTAAAATGCAACTTTGGAAGGACTAGCACAGGCCAACAACCAATAGTCCATTATCGAAATATAATGGGGAGCAAAACTTTAAAGATAAGCCAAGTCTTCTTGGAGCTAAGTATTCTTTCCTACATAAGCATTGAGCTGCGGAAAATTATTTGGCTCATTGATCAACTTCAAAATCAGCTCTAACAATTCAAAATACCAAAATATGAGTAAAACGAATTTCACAAGATGTCATAATTGGCATTTAGAAGTTTCAAATACTCAGAATTTGACTCCTCCCATAATACTCTAAACAAACTTAGGTACATTTATTCAAACACGCATGCAACATGGTAGACAGAGAAAAGGCAGAGCAAACAGGACGTTAAATAGATAACTCATCTATGAAAACAAAATACTTTATAATATAACAAATTTAAATTAGCAACAGTCTTCAAATACAGAGCTAGACCTTGTATTTTGCAGCCAAAACATTTTTTACAATGACAAAACTAACATCAGATGATGCTTTAGTATGCAGCTGTCCTCCCATTGCTGTCACCAATTTTTCTATCTTAACCTGTGTCATAATTATAAGCATTAGAACATCAACAATAAATAAGTGGATTTTAGTCTCCCAAAAATAGCATAGCTCCACCTTTGAGAAATCCAACTTACAGAAAATTTGAGGACAAGTTCCCTCATAATAGAGATGAAAGACCCATTGCAGGTCTAGAAACAAAAATTCAAATTATTCTCTTTTTTTAGGACCTCTTATAGAGAGAGTACCTTTTCGTCCACTTCAAAACCGGATGCAAGTATTTTGACACCATCCATAGCAAGGCAACAAGTAAACCCTTGTTTAGGCAATGCTCTATGTTCTTTTGCACAAGAAAACACACACTGAGGACCTGCTCAATATTACATGAGCGCAAAAAAAGAGAGCAAGGTCAGGAATAAGTCCCTAATGCAATTCCATAGAGTCACATCTCATAACTAAAAGTTATATTCCTTGACTTATTAGCCTTTCTGAATTGCCTACGTATAACTCTGAAGCATATGAGGATTTTACTCAAAATTACACAAAAGTTTGCACATTCTTAATCACTGAATAAAACCATTAAGAGTAATTGATATCTTGATATCCAAATTTAGATACTTCAGTAGAAACTAACTAGAGGATTTATAGCATGAAATTCAGAGCTAACTCAAAAGGCAACACAAAAAATGAAAAAGAGAAAAAAAAAGGGTAAAACAACAAAATCATACCTAGCAAAGTACAGCCCTTAGCTCTAAGATCCTCGAATTTCTCCTGAAAACCAACAGAACAAAAAATGAAAAACCTAAATCGAAGGAAAATGAACATTAAAAATGGCCGGAACTATATTAATGCCTTTACTTACGTGATCGGGAGAGGAAATGATGTGGTAATCGTTCGGGCCATTCCGCGAAGGATCGCAACAGAGAAAAACTTCGGCTCCATTATGCTTGAGGGCATCGAGAAGAGCGTCGAAGACCTCCGGCGGCACCAGGTTCCGCGACATGAATACGTTAGCCCCATTAAACGTCTTCGTCTTCAACATTTTTCTCTGTCGCGCGTGGTAGCACTTGATGGAGCTTTCTTGCTTCAAATTTTCATTGATCAGTAGTGACAACTGAGTTAGGTCTTTGGATATTTGAGCGCTATTTTCTTTTTCTTTTTTTTTTTCCGGTATTCGAATGGGTAAATGAAGGAGAAGGAAAAACGCGGGAAGGATAATGGTTGAAATTGGACTTCAACTTTTTTTTCTTTTTTTTTATATGCTTGAATTTGCCCCATCGACCTAAATATAATAAATTAGTTTTTTTTTTTGTTTTCCAATTATCAATTAACTTTGTACTAAATTGACAAAAGACCTCACTTATTGTAAAATTAATAAAAAAATAATTTTTTATGAAATAATAACTTTTAATTTTAAAATAATACTCTTCCAAAAAAATGTTAAAATGATAATTTTATCAATTAGAAATATTAAATTTTTTTTGTCAAAAATTAGGTAATTTTATTCATTTGGTGCAAAAATAGGTTAATATTGTACATAAATGTTGATTTCAGGCATTTGTAATTCAAATTATACACTTGGCCATATTTAGGTAAAAAAATTTTAATGATTATGATTTTAAATTTTGACCCATGACTTTTTACAGATAAAATTTAGATCAAAATCAATGGAGAAGCCAATATTTTAAGTCTAATATGTAAATTAGAGAAATTAAAAGAAATGGTTAAAATTGCAAATATATTTAAAAGTATTTTGGAACATTAAGCCAACAATATTCATTCATTAGCATAGTACATTTGGGTAAACTTTTACAAGGGTAGGCAAATAATTTACCAAGGCTCAGCCGTACCGTAAATCATAAAAAGCTGGGCCCAATGGAACCACTGGACGCGGACAGCTTTCTATTGGAGCCATGCTACGAAATATAACCATTCAACTGCATAACGATTACCATGTTCAGGCCGGTTAACGTAATAGTATGTCGTTTCATTTACCATTTCAAAAAAGTGATTACAGAAAAAAAAAAAGTTAAATTTTTTAATGTAAGAAAAAATTTATTAGTATATATTATTGAAAGAAAAGTTGTAGTAAGCTGTTACAGAGGAAAATACTACATTTAGGCCACTCTGGTCTCCGCAAACCATGATAATCCACGCAAAAGATTAAGGCTGGACAACAATAGATAAAACCGACCAAATTAAGGCACACCAATTGGTTGGGTTCAGTTTCTTTTTTAAAAAATCTGTTCGGTTTCATTTTAATAGGAAAAAAAAAAAACCCCAAAAAGTAAATTAAAATCCAAAAACTAGAGCAAACAGGTTTAACGATTTTGTTCAGTTCTACAGACAATCCAGATCAATTTGATGTTTATTTTTGTATACAAAAAATTGATTTATTCAATTTGTACAAATTCACTCTGGTTTAAACAAACTAACCGAATGCCCACCCTACAAAATATCAATTTAAATACCATGATAAACGGGGAATAACAGAACAACAAGGTTGCAAAGATACACGTCAAAGCAAATGCATTAATCGAAGAAGAGAAATACAGCATTCTGCCATCTCCTATTCCAAAGACGAAACTCTATTGGACAACGCACCATCCAACACTTAATTACAAAAATGGTAGCAATCAGCCAGTCAGAATTAATAAAGCCTCCTAAGGAGAAAATAAAAGAAAAGAAAAGGAAGACTTTGTTACACAATTACTTCTATGGTATAAATTTCCTACCCTCAGTCGACTATATGAAGTCAGCTAGACTGTTCAAAACTTGAAGGAGTATTCAACTGAAGGTTTAACTTCTGAGGAAGAGATGATACCTGCTTAACGGACTTCTGTCTTTCTTCACTAGATTGGTTATGCAACTTCTCAGAACGGAAATGGGTTTCATCCAACTCTTGCTCTGATCTCCTCTTTACCTTTTTCTTTACTAAGGCACCATCTAGTCCTATTTTTGCCTCATCCATGGGATTGCTTGAGCTTCCTTTTGGCTTATCTTGTTTCAGCCTTTCCACATTTGGTGCATTCCTTGAAGGACTTGGTACCCGAACAGCTGTTGTTGCTGAACTGGGTATCGACTTGCTAGCTAGAGCTAAGACCGGACCAACTGTCTCAGCAGGCAGCCTCTCTCGCATATACTGTTGCTGAGCAACAGAACCAGCCTCAGCTCGAGCAGTCTCATCCAATCTAGGTGCCAGCATCTTTTTTCTCTTAATTTTTTCCTCATCCTAATGCAAGAATGAAAAAGATGTGAATAACTGAAAAACCAGTACATTCAGAGTCATGTACCAGACAAGAACAGAAGTGGTATTTTGGAATGAGTGATAATAAGTGTGAAAGAAGTTATGTCCTATCAAACTAGAAATTGCTCAGTTACAGAGCATGGATCACTGGGTACAGGGAGTAACATTGATAAAGACCATGGCTATAAAGGAAATAAATAGCCGATGGGTGTGAGACACTTCATTTCCAGTTCATCTTATTACCTCAAACACAAGACCTTAAGACTTTGACTCCACATTAGAGCAACTATTATCAAACTTAGGCATAAATGACTTCCTTTGATACTTAAATACCTTTGAACAAATCACCATTAATTAGACTACAGTTAATATACAGGAGCGAATTCCACTTTCAGTTCCTGTCGACACATCCACTAGCCAGGAGTATTGAGTGGGAAAATTCAAATGTTAAAAACATTAAGGTATTGTCAGCAAATCCAACCAGAAACTATATCAGAATGGACATTCACGAAGAGAAGGGTAAAAGAAGAAGTGAGCAAGTGGACCTCATGCACCTTATGTCTGTTGTACAATGCCCTTCGTCTCTCTTTCGCCCTACAGATTGCTCGCTTGATCCCATGGTTGTCCATGAAACCACTTGGCCACAATTCTGCAAGCTGAATCATAAATGGAGGTCAAGTGTCAAAAACATATTGCAGCAAATTACAAACAATAACTTTTCCTGAGGGAGTCAAAGAAAGCTAAAGAAGTACGTAACTGGAAGGCCTTAAAGGGTATATGTTCTAGAGAAAAACATAGTCTGGTCATAAAGAGAGAGAGGGAGGATACAAGTTGGATCAATTTGATCTCTAGCATCAATAAATTAGTACCAAAAAGTTTCAGCGAGGACAGCACAAGAGAGAGCACTCCCTTGCACCCCTTTTTAATTTAATTAAACAAGTAAAATAAAACATACCTCTAGATATAACTTTCTGACTTGTGGCCCAGCATCATCATCCAGTCCCTAGAATAATCAAAAGGTAAAGACCAAAAATCAGATAACTAAGGCTACAGATTTCTCAAAGATACATGAGAATTCTTCAAGAATAAGCATTGCAAGCAAGTAATGTATTAGTACATCAACAAAAAGGTCATAGAGATCACAAATTTTGTCCTCCAACACAGCATCCATGCTAAATTTTCTTTTTAGGGATCCTTTTTCCTGTGAAACATTTTCTTGAAAATCGTCGGAGGCTCCAGCTTGTTGCTCCAATGCCTGAGAAAGCAATAATAATAAATTTCACATAAAGTCAAACATTTGTCATTGAGATGCTGAAAAGAATCAATTAACTGTTAACTGTTTATCAGCTACATTGGGAGTTAAAAAGCAATAAATAAATTAGCATGTTAAGTTGAATCACCCATGCAACATCTAAGATAGATCGTAATTAATAAATATTACTGGCTACATCAAGACTAAAAAAACACATATCAATATTAGAAACACCAAAGTCTGTTAGTCTACGATAACCAAATCCTCACACCAGGGGGGTGGGGGAGGGGGGAGAGAGATTGAGAGTGAAGTAATCAGAACAAAGGACTTTCTAATTAAGCCTACAGTGAAAGCATCATACAAGAAAAGGAAAAACAGAGAGGGGGACTCCAATTTCATCAACCATTGCCTTCTATTTAATTTTCATCCATGTTATCTTAAAGGCCCTAAATAAAAGGACTCTTCCCACTGTGGGGGTACGTGAGATAAATTCAAGATAAAAAAAACACAATATCAATTTTAGAAAACACCAAAAGTCTTGTTAGTCTACGCAATAATCCATAATCCTACACCAGGGGGGAATTAATTAAATGGATGGTTGGGGGAGGGGGTGTAGAGAGAAGAGAGTGAGAGTTAATCAGAAACCAAAACGGCAATTTCTAATTATAGCCTTACAGTGAAAGCATTTCATACATAGTAAAAGGAACAAACAGAGAGGGTGGAACTCCAATTTCATTCAATCATTAACTTTGTAACTATCTTTAATTTTTCTTATACTCCCAAGATTATCTTAAAGGCCACTAAATATAAAGGAACCTAATTCACTCACTGTTGAGGAGGGGGGGGGGGTGGGGGGGGTTGAGGAACAGAGAGGTGTCTATAGGTGTGGGAGTAGGAATTCAATCACACACCTTGTGACTCCAAACTGGGACATGTGTTCTTTTAATATCCAGGCAAGATCTTATTATCTTTATTTGTTGGAGACCCTTCATCTTTCTCTCTTCTTTTGCTGACTATGCGCCCAATGCAGATCATTACCTTTTAAGTTCCTCGTGCTCAAGCAAAACAGACTGCGTCTGTTAGTGCAATATTATTGTGACATCACGCATAACACGCAAACGCTAAATTTCTCTATGACATTAGAAGACAATATTAATAACAAATGAAATACAAAATAATAATTGAGTGAATTCATGTACCGCAAAAAAGAGAATACAATATGAAATAAACCACATCTCTCTTTTTATAATAACATAATGATAACATTATTCAATAAGTTTCATAGTCCGATCCACAGGTTCTGTAATGTCAAAACAAAGTATTTAGGCTAGTACTGAATAGACCCACAGTAGCTCTTCTATGAAGACTCGTATAGAATCAATAATGTAATAGGCGGTCAGTTAAGCTCTCGTGCTCTCACTTAGATGTTATACAAACACTTTGCCATTTAAATATGTACTTTTTACTTATATAACACTATTATGGATTCATATCCAATCTTCAAAATAATCCCCTCTATATTACAATGAAATATTACTTCTTCTTTACGATGTAGACAAAATCAAGACGGCTAAATTCGTTTCACGAAATACTGCATAGAAAATAATTTGGATTGTAAATTCAAAAGTGATATCGATAAAAAAAAAAGAAAAAAAAAAAAAAAAAGAGTTTCCAGATTCAATTCACTAGTTGTGGAAAGAGCAAAATAGAAGAAACCAAAATAAAGAATATCAAACAAAAAAGCAATTCTGCGATCAATGAGAACTAAAAAAACAATTAAGAGAATTACTAATTGCAAACCGAAATACAACATCTCAAGAAAATGAAATCCTCGAACCTTCCATCAGCTGATGAGATGTTACACAAGCTATTAAGAATATGATATATCAAAGCAGAGAGACTAATGAACGTTATACAGACATTTCGGAGCAGTCATCTTTGTTTGATCCAAACTTACCTTGGTGTTTCTGAGCTGTATTAAGTGACCAAGGAATGCTCATAAGGCGATTTGATTAAACTCGTTTGATACTTTCCCCTGTCGGTTGCGTGTCTATGCTAATTCACATTTTATGAAGTAAACTTTATTATTCCTTGAAGAAATCTGTTATATATAGTATCATAAATAAATAAAGTTGAGGAATCATATGAAAAAGATTTTTTTATCATAAAGTACAAAATTCATAGTATAAACAATCATGAAAATGTCAAGAAATTTACCATTACCGCTGCCAGTTCTAGAACTTTAGCAAGCTTAGCTTTATTCTCTAGGCATCCTCTTATTGTCTGTGGATGAGGGCAATCTACGCACCTTCTTGATTCCTAAAGCCGGCGGAGACCTTGTATGGTGTATGATGCGGAGGCAAAGATCGAGAAAGTTGAGAAATTTAAGGAATTATATTTCTAAGAATTTACTGTGTCAACATTACTCTTAGCAATCACTTACTTTATTACTGAAGCAATTTTACACAGATTAGAAATAAGATAATTTAATGTTTTTATTTTATATTAAGACTTTATTTAGAGGTGTGTGAAATCATTTTTCAATTGGGATAGTGTGACTATTTTAGGACAATTTTTCTAGATACGGATTTGATGTCTTATAGTCCGTATGCTATTAGTTATTGCAATTTATAAATATTATTCTAGTAGGATTTATGCTAGTAGGTCTTTAGATTTTCCAGTTGTGTCGACTAGGGAGAATCCCACCTCTCTTATTGGTTGAACTCTTAATTTGTTCTTACTAATTCACTTATTTCGCAATATTTTATAATCACTCTAAATCTTACGCATTCTATCATGTACAGGCTCATATTTTTTTTGACATACATCAAGTAGTACCAACAGACAAGAAAATCTAATTCAATTAGATCATTCCAACAATTATACAATTAGCGAACAGAAGTAGTACAAGACTTTTGAAGCTTACAGCTTCAAGATACACCAGTCCTCCGTGTGCCCTAAAGAATCGCGCAAATATATTCAAGCATTGACTTATTGGACCTGAAACACTTATAGAAAACCATCCTTTCTATGGACATGCGAGGTTTCTGCAAATATCAAATCTAGAACAAAAAAAAAAAAAAAAAAAAAAAAGGTTTCCAGATTCAATTCTGTAGCAATAGCCAAAATGAGAAACAAAATAAAGAATTCAACAAAAAAGCAATTCTGCATCAATGAGAACTAAAAAAAAAATTAAGAGAATTACTAAATTGCAAACAAAATACAACATCTACAAGAAAATAATCCTCCAAACCCTTCCATCCAGCTGATGGAAGTTACCAAGATAAGAATTGAGATTGCAAAGACAGAGAGACTAACTGAAGTAAAAGCATCGAGCAGTCATCTTTGTTTTCCAACAACTTACCTTGAGTGTTCTGAGCTGTATTAAGTGACCAAGAATGCTCATAAGGCGATTGATTAACTCCTTTGATACTTTCCCCTGGCTTGCCTGCTGCAACAATTATGAAGTAAAAATCTTATATTTCCTTGAAATCTCTATTATAACTATCAAATAAATAAAGTTGAGAACATGAGAAAAGATTTTTATCAAGTACAAAATCAAGGAATAAACAATCATGAAAATGTCAAGAATTTACATTACCGCTGCCAGTCTAGCAACTTTAGCAAGCTTTAGCTTTATTTCTCTAGGCAATCTCCTCTTAATTGTCTGTGATGAGGCATCTCCCTCTTGATTTTCCAAAGCCGGCGGCCTTGCTGCAGTATTGATGCAGGAGCAAAGATCAAAAGTTGAGAATTTAGGAATTTTCTAAAATTACTATTCACATTACTCTAGCAATCACTACTTATACTACTGAAGCAATTTTCAAATCAGGGTTATTTTATGTTTTATTTAATTAAGACTTTATTTAGAGTAGTCAAATCATTTTTCAATTGGGAATTACTATTTAGGACAATTTTCTAGTAGGATTTATGTTTTAGTCCGTATGCTATTAGTATTTGCAATTAAAACTATTCTAGTAGGATTATATGCTACTGGTCTTTATTTTCCAGGTTGTGTCACTAGAAGATTCAACACCTTTTTGGTTGAATTATGTTCTACTAATTCACTTATTTCAATATTCTCATCTAATCTACAATCTAATCAGTCAGGGTTATTTTTGCTACATCAAGTATTTTACAAAAAGAAAGAAATCTGAATCAATTAGAAATCATTCAAACCATCATACAATTAGGAACAGAAGTAGTACAAGACTTTTGAAGCTTACATTCAGCAACCATCCTCTCCAATTCCCTGATGGCATTTTCCAGCATTGAACTCTTGGACCTAACACTAGAACCATCCTTTCTATGGACATGCGAAGGTTTCTGCACAAATATCAAAATCAAGACCAGCAACGCAGAAAATAAAGTGGCCATGATAAGAAGGGGAAAAAAAGTATGACATAACAAAAAGCCTTCTAATATTAGCATGAAAAGGATTGGTAATTTTTAGTTAGAACTTAGAATTATACGGTTCTAGGATTTATTCACATGCATGCAATAGTTCTTTTATTTTCAAATTCAACTTTTACTCTCTACAAAGCCTAAAAGTTCAAATAGAGCTTGATGCATCTCATATTTGTGTGTAGAATAGTGAACTCATAGACACAACATCAAGTTCCTTGTGTCCAGATTTTGCAGAGTTACAATGCATAGAACAGTTCCCAAGCTAACAATTTGACAATGCAAAATAATAAGAATATAATTTTAAAAGCACTTACAGTTACTTGCATGGAAGTCTTGCCATCTGGCATATTAAGGTCAGGCAGCTCACGGACACCATTCTTTTCTCTTGACCGTACTGATGGTTCAATTTCATTACCACTGGTTATCGATTTTGCTTGCAACTTGGATTGTGGGTAAGCACTTTTATCATGATATTTCTGATGTGAGACATCCAAGGATCCACTTGTATCTTTTGACTTGGTCACATTCTTCCCTTGGAAACCTCCAGTCTTTGGCTTTTCAACATCCTTGGCCTCTGCTAGAGAAACAGAAACATCGCCATTTGAAACTTTTACAGACGATGAAGGATCCAAATTTATTTTAGTTTCAGCAGATTTCTTCTTTGCAGAAATTCCAGATGCATAGAGTACATTTGGAGTTTTCACTTCCTCATAGCGTTCATTTGTCACAACCAAGCTTTGAGAAGGATTAGAAGAGTTCTTTCCGACCAGCACTGCAGTCTTCCCAGCTGCTGACTTACCAAGCTTAACATGTTTATTTGATATACGATCATCACCCTCACCAGGAGCCTTAGTTAAATCTTTTCTTCGTCTTTTCTTTGCTTGCTGATTAGGTATAACAGTAGGTTCATTTCTGGATGGGAAATGAATGAATCAGTAAACAGGTACTATAGAAACTAATAAATAATCAGAAATCTAAAAGTACAGAATTTGTTCTTAAAATAGATCAGATAAAAAGTACCTGCATTCCCAAACCAATTTAAATAATAAAATTATAGCCGGTAGCAGATGTAAATATTTCAGAAGCCGAAGTTAGCAAAGGAGTTGATGCCTCAAAAATTAACTCACTATAGGAAACATCAGCAATGAGTGCTTTCACAGGGTCATAGCCAACAAGTAGACAATTTCAAAACTACCTCTTGCACCGAAGTCAACAACTATGGACAAAGCTGCAATGTCATGTATCAAGACAGGAACTCGAAACTAGCAAGCACATTTGATGGTAGTGGACTAACGCAGAAGCAAAGTGCAACAGGGACAAAAGACATGTCATATACTCTGGTTTGAATTGTGATGTGTTTGGTAATAAAGAAACAGAAATCTCTTTTTGTAAAGTTGACATTTGTATCACCAAGGCAACTTCATATGCGAGCATTAATAACTTGAAAATTCTTTGGTTGTGAGAGTTTTAGTAGTACTTTTATGGATTGGGAGGATAGCAGGGTAATTGCACAACAGACTTCCTTAAGCTTTTTGGATTCCCAGATTTGTAATCACTCCTACAGACATGAATTGGAACCAAAGCATCCAGAATGAAGCAATAAAGTATTGACCACTAAGCAGACATTTTGCAGACTTAATTCAAGAAGGCCAAAAGAACCTAAGAGATTACTCTCTGTTGCAAATTTGCAATATTGTGACTCCTGTAGGCATACAGGACAATGTTTCAACAAATTTGATGGAGAGACTGGAAGAGATGCAAAAGCGATGATATTATAGTTGTAAAGCCTTTATTTCGATCTTATTACAAAGTGGAAAAACAATTATCAGAAGGTTCAACTCAAAAGTGCTCGGTGAAAACCAAATAGTACTCAGCAGAAAAGCAGTTTGAGCTATTATATAATAACTAAGGCAACTCCTGATGGCAGAAGTACAATCAAGTAAAAGATAACTTACATGCGTTCCAACTTTCCCCTGTTAACAAAGAATCCATTGTGTTTTATTGCTGAATTATCCACTTCGAAATACTCATCCTGCAGAAATGATTTCAATTAACATACAGAACCCAATTCATATGTAAATATTTTTAAACAATTAATATTAATCAGAAATAAATAGATACAAAACATAGAAATGGGAAAAAAAAATATAAACATTAGATAGAAATGCCAACCAGCTCAGCATCATCAATAAAGGAGTCATCCGTATCATACTGATCATCATCAGGGATATCCTTTAGATCTTCCTCATCACTGCTATCCTTGCCCTGTGAAGGATTCAGTCGTATGAGCACATGTAATTCTGATTGCAAATCAAATACAATAAAAAGGAAAGGAAGTAGTAAGCATGAGATAAAGCATAACATACCATGTAAAGACGTTCAATCTTCTCAATTACAGCACTGAAACGACTTGGAGCAGGCGCATCCTTATCTTCATTTTCAGCTGGTTGTCCCTGGAAGGTCAAGCACAAGTAAGAAAAGATTTCACACTGCATGAAACTCAATTGACAACACAACAAACACTAACAGTAATACTTATATTGCATGAACAAGTATAAGATAATTTTTGTCCTTTTCCTCGTTCAGTCCCATAGGTAACTACCACAATACTAGTAAATACCTCTCAACAAACAGGCAACTAAAAATTTTTAGTTGATTCTCAAACTCTTAATATTCTTAATCATCTCGTACATAGCTGCACAACTCATTCCCCATATCCACTTCTTCCTTTCATTTCCCACAATTTCTCAGCAACCAAACAGAATTTAACTTGGCAGTTAACAAAATGCACACAAATAAGTAGCTTACAAAAATAATTACAGCTTGAAGCACCCTCGAACTTAAATTTATCAACATTGCAACTTCTTCAATGACTAAAAGGAGCAAACGCACAGATAATTATACACATAGTATGTTAGATTGGATGCGCTTACGGGGGCGAGGCGAGACTCAAGGTTGGGATGAGCGTTGGCAGGAGGCGGGTCTGAGGCTGGTGCGGATCCACTATTGACCTTGTTTGCGTCTTTCATGAGCTTTTTCCATGATACGAATGTCGTCTCTCCGGGTCGAAGCTCCACCGTGAATATTTGCCTGTCACCTAATTTCACATACGACGGCGTTAATCTCGACGACGATTCCCCTCCACCGCCACTAGTCCCTTCCTCCATTCGTCGGCTCACAATTCTAGGGTATGGAATTACAATTGGAGAATTAAGATTAGACTGACATAAAGACAACAGGTATTTAAGAAAACCCTAGATATTTATGGAAAGAGAGAGGGGTTGTACGTTTAGGCCACAGTTTTTGAAGAGGGAAAGAGAGATAGACAAGAGGAAAGCTGGGCGGGATGCGAAAACCGTTTCTGGGGGTTTAACTGGAAAAGTGAATTTTCTGTTTTAATTTTCTTGCGTTTTCTTTCCCGAGAAAATTTGAGGGAGGGAAGGGGAAAAGGGCGGGTTGGCCTTGCTCCGTTCTAGCTATTCTCCATGCCTTGACCCGACCCGGTATTGAGCCCATTTTTTTTTTTTTTCTTTTTTTTTGAAAGGTAGCCCAGTTTATTTACGAGTATTCTTCTTTTTGTTTTTTCAATAATTTTTTTGAATGAATTTAAATATTAAATTGGTCTCTTGAACTTTTTCAAATTAATTCATCAAAAAATTTATTTGTTTCTTAAGACAACGGGTGACAGCATGTAAGAGTAATGATTTAAGCATCGTTGGGCAATAGCTTTTTAAACGCTACTTTTTATAGTATTCAGTAACATATCATTTGAAATAATTTTTAGAGATTAAGGTAAATATTTTATAAAAAATTGACTAATGTAATATTTAGCTTTTTAGCGTTTTATGAAAAGTTATTATTTAGAGCCATGCAATATTTAGCGTTTAGTATTTTATAAAAAATTACTAAATAACTAACCGTTAATTTTACCGAATAGACCCTTATTTGGTTAGACTTAGTCTAACTCAAATCATAAACCAAATAAAATGAAAAATATTTTTTATTAAAATGAATGTATTTCTAAGACAAAAAAAGGATAAGATAAAACGACCTTTTTAAAAGATCTCTATTTGTTTTATTGGTCTATCAGTGGACCTATATAATTTCCAAGAACAATAAAAAGAACCTACACAAAGACGACATCATTGACACGTTGGATGAGAACATGAAGAAATCTTAGGCGATAAAAGAAAGATTTACTATTATGTCAATGTATAATAGTCAAATACACCGGTCAGGACTTATTTTTTTCAAAATACATGAGTACGTCCTTAACTCTGAGTAGTATTCCCATATATTTGATTCGTGTATGGTAAGGTTTATTGCTTGTATACCCTCTGTCTCTTGAGTGTTGTTACTTTGCTTGTTCATTGTATAGACCTTCAAATGGGAAATCTCTTTCTCTTTTGGAAGGCCTTCCATTAAATATCATTTTATTTTTAAACGATTGAATGTGCTTTCCGGTTTTCTGAAAAAATTTCTATTCTATTCCAGCTCTCCATTCATTCAGTCTCTCCGCCTATTCCCTCTATTAATCCATTCCGTATATATCTATAGTCGTCTATCTCTTATTCTTTGAGCTATCAGTCTGCGTCGTCCATTACGTACGTTTCTATCCAGTCCTATTCTAAGGTTATGTTATAGGAATGAGCCTCATATTGAAAGTTTTTTCAGTAGAAGCTTTTGAAGCTTTTTCTTTTGGTTGTTCAATTTCGATGGAAGTTGCAACTTTTATCTCGATCTAATTGTTGAATCATTTCGTCTATTTGTTATTGTTTTACCGTGACTCAAAGCGCATTCAAAGGAGAGAGAACCTTTTTATAACTAAAATACCCTTCAAGGAGAGAATAACCTTACACTTACATATGCTCTTTTGTTTAGTACACCACCATTATGTCCTCCTCTAGTTTATGGAGACTAGAGTTACAACGGTTGAGACTAGTAGAGGACGACTCCAAATCAGTCATTAAGCTCCAATTTTTCCTTCGTTTAGATGATCGACGTCCCCTTTATAAGATTTAAACGTCCAAAGTTCACTGCAACGGCGTTGAGCGTCTTCTCTGATGTGAATTTTGACGTTCAGTAGCTAAAGAACCAGGACTATCTTCCAATTGATGACAAATAAAATTCTTTTGTCTATGAAATTTGTCTATTCCGCTACAAACTCCATTCATTAAGACTGTCAATACACGCAACTTTCACACCCATCATGTCAACATTTTCCAACTGATCCAACATGTACAAACCACAACCACTGAAACACTATATTTTAGCCAAAAATTATCAAAATAGAAACGACAACTATAAGCATAAACATCATTCAAAACAGTCTGAATTAAAAGTGGAGCATGATCATGAATTGGGTGAATAAGAGAACCAACCATGTAATCAGATACATGTAAGCCCAAGCATTATTAAAAACTGCCTTATCCAGTCTTTCTCTTACACAATAATCTGACCCTTTATGATTTTTTCATGTAACCAGAAAAAGGAATATCTATCAAATGATAACAATTTAGAGCCTTACGAAAGTCAATAAAAAGAAAAATAGGATGAGGGGCTCCACCTTCCTTCTCCTTTTCAGATAAGAGATCATTAAAGTCTCCTATGCAAAGCCAAGGCTGTGAGCTCCCTAGCCACTAAAGTCTACAACAGATTTCAGGAAGAGCAACTTCTATTCCTTTTAAAGTACCCATTGAAGCTTGTCAAACGCCGAACTAAGTCTCCATCTCCAACATGACAATCAACAAAAAAATTTGTGAGCAATCAATTACATTAAACTTCATTGAATCCTTCCACAAAATACACAAACCTCCACTTTTACCTAAACGATCATCCATAAAATAATTTTGAAACTGCCATACAATGAACTTATTCCACACGATTACTATTAATAACGATCTCCACTAAGAAAACAATCTCAACTTTGTAACTCAAATAAAAATCTTTAAGTACATGTACTGTTTGAGGGTGATTAAGCCCTCAACAGTTTTAGGTTATGATTTTCATGGCTTCTGCCTGAACCCGCCTCACATAATCAATCAATATTCTATTTTTTGATACATTGATAGTCAAGGCTACGTCCTTTGTTGAACTGTACATGATTTTCATCCCATACAGCTCCTCGACGGAACCCTAATGCAGTTCCATTCAAGCCTCAGTTCTTCCTTTTTATGATTTAATCAATACTCATAAAAACTATCAACATGGCCAAATGACTACAAAAGAAGCAGAAAAACAATGATCTTCTCATATTTAAACTGGATAGAAGACCTATCCATACACCGAAAAATCTTCTTTATTCATTTGATTTCTAATGTCCAACCTTGTCATTAATTATGCGCATAAAGTTGCCACTGCCATAAATGTTATTATGCAGATCATACTCTAGGAGAGAACCAACAAAGTTTTCAATAAGTCTAGCCATTTGTTTTGACATGTATCCCTAGGATAAATCATGAACCTGGATAAGAAATCTGCATGCAGTAATGATACTGTTAACGAATATTGTCCTTCCTTGAGTTTATGTCGAACCAATAAATGTTTATTAAACGTTCAAGAAATCATTAACCATCTATTCCCATCTTATTATAAAATTTGAAAGGAAAGAATTTGGAACCTAATTCAAAGATACGAACACCACCCAGCAAGTGCCATAAATCAACAAATATATTCCACATCGCTTAAAAATTGACTGCACTCATTGTTACATGCCCACCATACATTTTTCATATGACAGTTTCACAACCTCTTGGAATTATTTGCATCAAAGCCCTCATCCTCCTCATTTACGAGAGATAGATGGGCTATAGAGTCCTCCATAACAAAACACAAAAATGATAAACCCTAAAACTCAAGAAAGAGACGTGCTTCATGAGCGAACAGAACAAAAATTGCAACTCAGTTTATATATAATTTTAATAATAATTAAAAATTGACAGTTAATTTATTTTAAATTTTTTTATTTTCTCTAAAAATTCTAAGTTATAGAATTTATAAATAATAAATATTTTTTTTATTTTTTATTTGGACGAATATATAGTTTTTTTTTGAGTAGAAAAGAGAAATTAAAACAATTAACTAGAAGACCATGTGGAGATTCATAAACCTAACTTCCAAACACATCGATTAAGCATACTTGAAAAATCAATGAGCAGATGCATAATTTAATCATTAAATTTAGATAAAAAAATCTTATAATATCCCTGAATTTTATTTTTTGTAAATCTCACATCGCCCTATTAATAATATTTTTTTAAAATTTATAAAATTTACTTGTGATAGAATCTATAGATAATTAGTATAGCTTTTGAACAATAATTTTTATATTTTCATCTATTCAGTAAATTTGAAGATCCATTTGTTCAAAGTACAAAGTTGAGGCGGCGACACCTTGTCTTCCCTAAAGATGGAGGGGTAAATTTATGTATAGGATAGGAGTAGTAAATTTATGTATTGAGCTATATATGGGCGTAATTTATGTATAGGGATAGGAGTAGTAAATTTATGTATTTGAGCTATTATATATATATATATATATATATATATTTTTTAATTTATTCGGCTTAGAAAAAAAAAAAAAAAAAAAAAGAGCACCATATAAAAAGAGCACAATATCGTTTTCCCTCCTTCTGTCTCTCCCGTTCTTACCTCCCGAACACTCCTTACTCCTCAACGCTATGGCCATTATGACCTCTCTGCACCTCTTCTCTCCGCCACCCTTCACTGCTAAAACCCCAACCTTAACCGCCAATAACACTATCACTATCCCACTCTTCTCCTCTACCTTTAAATTCAAGCCCATTTCATATAATTTCCTCAAACCTTTAAAAAAACCAAATTTGTTCATTCTCAAGGCCGACGAAGGCGACGGAGATGAAGTGGGGCCCGACGACTACGACATGGACGAGGAAGAGGCGGAGGAAGTGGATAACAAGAAGGATTACGACCTTGATTACGACCCTTCAGCCGTTGTAGCTGCTGCAAATGTTGGTGGAGATGAGGACATTGCTATGGTGATTAGCAAGAGCTTTGTGTCTACACAAGGATGGGATTCTGAAAAGATTGTCGATTATCGGATTGATGAGGAGGAATTTCATAAGATTAGTTTGTTAGACTGTGATTTCTTCATAAGGAAGCCGCCTGACCCAGATAATGATGTTTATGATTTTAGGGAGGTCAGTAGTGTTTTTTTTTTTTTTTTTTTTGTTAAGATCTTTTGGTCTTTCTGTGTATTAATAGTGGATTTTGTTTAAGTGTTTTTTTTTTTTTTTTTGTTAGAATTTTGGTCTTTCTGTGTATTATAGCTGATTTTGTTATCTGGACTTTTGTTGGCTGCAGATGTATGTTACTCCGCCGGATACTGATATTTACGCTATACCAAAAGTTCTAGCTCCAATGCCACAAAAGGTGATATAATTTGTTGTTGGTGAATGCCTTCTATTTCAAGGCTATAGTTTCATGCAATTTCACGAGAATAATATAATTAGGAAAGCTTCCTTAGCTATAAAGCTTTAGTCTTGTTTCTTGCTTCTTGAACTGGAGTCATGTGAAGAAATAAGGGCTCTTTTTGATCATTTATATACATGCTTCACTCTTATAAAGCAATTTTAATAGTATTAGTGGCACAACTGCATACTACATATCTCTAAACTGAATAGCTTCTCAGTTGGCAGTCATTCTTGGAATAGACAATAGGAAATGCTCTGATGTGGTACATTCAAGGAGCAACTATATTGTGAGATCATTAGCTCAATTGTGGCACAATACCCACTTGAGTTTTCGATAAAATAGCTAACATCATACTTTAAGAGCCAATAATTTTTCATTGTACATTTATGATTGTTTTGTTATTGGAAAATTGCAGTACATTCGCTGTGCAATGAGTGATTATGGACGTTACAATGTAACAGAACCACCTATTGATGCACCTCGTGATCCATTGTACAAAAGTGAGAGAGAGATTTTGAAGGTATGATTGATTTTATTGGCTAGCATATGCGCATTTATATGTATTACATGCAGTAGAGTGTCATATGAATCATCATTTTTCCATTTTTCCATATGCTATTCATAAACATTCTAATATAATTCTCGTCAATGTGAAATTTGATTTTGTTTGATCCAAATCTTGTAATTGATGGACTAAGATGATCGGCAACTATGCTTTTAACTCTCACCTTTCTAGGAGGATGGTCATTGCATTTATTCCAACGTCTGTAGCTGGTAGCAATTTCTAAAGAAACATTTATTCTTGACGTCCACTTGAATTTGCAGGTACTCATGTTATAGTAGTCAGTATGCATGAGTTCTAGGATTGATTTTTGTATCCCACCTTTATCTCAAGTATCTCTGTTTTACTACCTAATGTTTCTTCCAGTCTTATTTCTATGAACTCCTTGATTTATGTTCTCACGAATCCTTGTCTGTTTGACTGGAAGAGAACATGTGTTTAATGGGATATTATATCAAGTTATGGAATTGATGTAAAATTATCATACTATTGTTGATTGCCACATAAAGTTCCTCTGAAGAGGTTTGTAACTTGTGGAGTATGACATACAGTAATTATGGCTAAAAAATTCAGAAGCCTGTCTGTTTTAGAGGTAAATGTTTGGTAGTGGCAATTTTTTCTCAATATATTTCAATGCATGAGTTAGTGAACTAGTAGCCATTTCTAAACTATAGATTGATGTATTGGGAGATTGTTTTACAGAATATGGAGCTCAAAGGGTTGCCATTTTCTTTTCTCGGTAATTCAATGTTCATAAAGCCACAACATTACTAAATTGATTTCCTCCTGCAGGTTTTCTTGACGAAGCATTATAGAAACCGAAGGTTTGGTGACCCAGAATTCGTGTTAGATTTTGAGGAGATATATGTTATTGATTCCAAAACAAAGTCAATAACTAGAGCAAAAGTAGTGGTAATTAATTTAATTTTAAGCTGTCTTTTTGTTTATTTACTCAAGTTTATCCCTTTCAAATTTATATATATGGCATGTAGCAACTTGCGACAAAGCTTTAGGGCTTAGGTTTAGGTTTTTCTTTTGTTTGATCAAATTCTCTCCTGATCCTTGATTTGATATCAAGGGGAGTATGATCTTAAGCACTAACCATTCGTCTTTTCAGTGGATGGCTCTTGTTACCTTTCACCTGAAGCTGCTTCCTGAAAGGAATGTATGGAAATATCCTGGGCCTCAAGGCTGTTTGAACCATACTTTTTTCACAATATTAAATTCAACATTATGTTTCCCTGGCTCCATTGCGTCAAGGAATTTCTTCTTCAGAATCCTGGATCTGCAAGATCTGATTTTGGAATGATCCATCATGATTTATGTGAAATCAGTATTATATCAGGCAATGCCAATGGTTTCAAAACTGACTTGATAGGGGAATAGAAAGGGAGATAGAGGAAGAAATCCAGGCCAAGAGGTTCAGTAGTGATATGTTGGAAAAACCAACCCATAAGAGAAAAGTCCAGGGTTAGAGCATAAACGAGATTTGATCCGAACTTACATAAATAAATGTGAAGTCTTTCAATAAAATTCTTAGAACCTATGCAACATTTTGTTTTGTGGTTTCTGGAGTGTTAAGAAAGGATATTTGAGTTGTATAATTTTCTTTAACAATGCCACGCTCTGGCCACATTTGACTATCTCCAGCTCTGAGGGGCCACACAGATTTGTAAGACCAATTCCATGCATTCCTGTCAAATCATCTGGTCAAGTCAGGATTTGATCACACTAGGCAACACTTGATGGTCAGGGTTAATCTGATTTGGTTTCAAAAACTTCAGACTTGTAGGTCCTTCATGTAATTTATGTACAATGCTAACTGCATAATTGGTTTAGAAAGTGCAATATGTACAATAGAGGCATTGTTCCAACTGCATGTTATAACTGTTTCTATTTGAACTTTTCACCCTTCCTTCTATATACAAAGTAAAAAAAATAAGAAGAGAATCATTTGTATTTTTTTTTCTGATAAGCATGATTTTGTTGGCTTTCCTATCATATTCACTAATTTTCAATATTTAAATAAAGCATTGCCTATGTGCTAGACCTCAAGCTGAAGATGATTGCAGGACATTAGAAAAGATAAGGATTCTAACTGTGGAGAAATTTACTATTTTTCCATGCTGCTTAGTCTGACATTAATATGATTGTAATGGTCCGAAATTTGGAACTATTTGCATTATTTACTTTGTGTCTTAAGATGATAGAGATTACATGAAGAATGCTCTTTGTTATGTCTATGAATCCATTAACTTGCTATTGAATTTTAAAGATCATATTGGCTGCTTATGTGTTGATTTCTTCATCTTCTTTTTTGCTTATTGCTTTGCGGTTGATGTGCTTAGGTCACAGTTCCTGGAGGAAGAAACAGGGACAGAAAGAGCGACTTGCTTGTGATACGTGATAATGGGAACACCTTCAAAATAATTCATGCAGTAACTATCCTTAACCTAAATCTCTCGAAGTTTATCATTTATCCATTGTGTGATTGATTTTCTCCATTTATTTTAGAGTGAAAAAGATGATCCAACAACTGTAATAGAGAGGGAAGAATGGGCCAAGACTAGACAAGAAATGGAGAGACATCTCAGAAAGCTTCGGGACTTCAGCGTTTCAAATTGGTTCTAATCAATCAGAGCATATGGAGACTGCTTAGTATAGACGAAATGTGTAGTGAAATGCAGCTTGGTCGGAACACATGCAGATATATCACATCCTTGACTCTGGTTGAGCTCATACTGCCGCGATTGCAGAGAAAAGTTTTTGCTTATGCTCAAATTTTGTATTTTTGCATGGAATGTTGGGCGTTCACCCAGCTATCCTGGCTTTCTATTTGCAAGTATGTAATGTAGAAATTTCCTTTATATTAAGTGCTATTTTATGTTCTTAACCAGTGATCCATGCATCAAAATAGGAAAGAAAAACAACGATTTATTTTTTACGTGGTACCTTACAAAACAAATATGTTAGTAGTTCCCGAGAATTGAACTTCTCAGAAAGTAGATTGATTTGAACCAAACGAGACGTAAACCCTTTTAAGTTAATGTTTTAAAAGCAACCAGTTGGTTAGTGCTGAATTTGGTTCCTTAACATCTGCTGCAATCAGATTGGATTGGTGATCAGGATTTCAATTCGAAAGGATGCAAATTATTTGAAGATAGTTTGCCTTTTGATAATCTTGCATTGCCTTTTTGTTTCCCTTTGCCTTTCTCTTTATTTCTTTACCATGAAACTGTGCTAGCCATGGGCTGAGCAGGGTTTGGGCTGTGAATTTGGAACCTCAGTTTATCATCAGGAAGTATTGAGCACCAACATCACATTGGGGCTCCTGGAAACTGGTAGTTTTGATTATCTCACCTTGCTTTCTCTTTCGTTGCTAGTTGGCAATGTCGTGTTCTTTGTCTGCAAGTTGGAGACAAAGGGCTGCATGAAGTTTCCCCTCTTTTTTTTGTATTTTTTTAAAAATTACCATTGGGTAGTTTGGGATTAAGGCTTTATTGTTATTGTAGATATTGTACAGATAAGAGTGTCCCTAGGCACCACTTTGGGATTGGCTCTTCTCCCAAGGTGAGTTTGGTGGCAATGCCCTTTGTGCCTAGTATGTGTATTCAACAATTAATTTTAAGAGAAAGGGAGTAGTTATTTTAATAACTCTGAAAAATAAAAACAAATTTAATGTCTGATTAAAAAATAAAGAAGAAAAATTAAAATGAAGATAAAAAATAATCCAAGAATAACGATGGAAGTGAGTCGGGCATGGATAATGGAATTACCATACGTGACGGATAGAGATATAGGTGTATGGACATATGTTGTCTATTACCTGCTATATTAAATGGATTTGGTCAAATATTTTTTCTCTTTACCATGTAAAAAAGTTTTTTAAACGTGTTTGGCTTCATATACTTAAAAATTTGCAGAAATTTTATCAATTTAAGGATCTTTTAAACATGTTTGAGAAATATATATACATGGAATGGAATGGAAAATTCTAAATAAGTTTCAATATTAGATATTTAAATGAGTTTGGAATGTGTAACAGTAGTTTAAAATTTTTTATCCACTTGCTTCCACCCATCAAACCTCACTTTTAAAGGTAGAACAACAATGGATGTAACAAGTAGAAGCTGGCACTTTCCTAGTGAGTGTTACATATAGGTGGGGCTTGCAAGCAAAATGTACATTCTTACAATCAAAGTATATGGAAATTGGAGCAATCAACAATAAAAAGGTAGAAGAAAAAAAAAAAAAAAGCTGTGACTTTACACAACAAAAGCAATTCTTTATCCATTTATCCATGTCTATAGCCTGACGTTTAATTTCTCATAAAGAGTGAGTGTGTATGTAAATGCTACTTGTGCAGTACTTCACAAAAGAAATTCATAAAGAGTGTATTTCTGCACATTTGCTAAGCAGAATTGGTGGTTTAAATTGCAAGCCCATGTAAAACAAAGTTAATTTGCATTATCTAGATAACATGGAAATCACTTTGGTAAAAATAATAATAATAATAATAATAATAACAATAATAATAAGTTAGTTGGTGTTCAATAACATGATAGTTGGTGTTCAATAATATGACTAATAGTTTTTTTTTTTTTAATTTTTTATATATTATTTATTTAATTAAGAATTAAGTTAAGTTAAAATTTATTTGAAATAATAATTAAAAATTTACAATATATATGTTTTAAATAATTATATTGTTTATAATTACGTATATTGTCATCAATTAAAACTTATCTTTTAAATTTGCAACACTTAATTTTTTTAAAAAAATTTACTAAATATTATCTCTAATAGAGGAAAAGAGTAAAGGAAAGAGATTTAAAGAGATTTAACATATATATATATATAATATCATTATATATATAATATATATATAAACCAATCCACTTGAACGTTACTCGAAACTCTTGCTCTAAAAAGTTCATGCAATAAGTTTAATAACGAATTTGAGCTTGTTTAATAAATAGGCTGAGCTCATTTTTTAAGTTTAAATTTATAAAAGTGTATTTTATTTTAATTATAAATTGTAAATAAATCAAGTTCTAGTTTGATTTTCACTGTATCTTAACAAGTCAAGCTCTGGAATTCGAAGGCTTTACTTAAGTTGGCTGATTTACAATTTTAATACCAACTTATTAATGATTTTAAATCCTAATTTGATTAGGTGCCTAGGTTATTTTAACTACTTTTGGAATCAAACTATAATGGATTAAAACAACAATATTTGATAAAAAAAAAACAATTTCTTTTTATTACTAGACCTTTGTATTATTCTTGTCCCCTTTCTCATTCCTTTCAAAGCCACATTTTAATGTTTCATGGCAGTGGCAAACAATGTACCCAAATTACTTTTAATGTTTATACTGTTATCGCAAAGTTGAATTCAATGTAGCATCCTTCTATATCTAAGATTGTACAGTGTACAAAAACTTACATCCTGAGACTCCCCTCATGGGTTTAATGTTCATTGAGGCAATTCCACAAGCACTTGTAGGCTAAATCCTAGGCACTCTATTTCATGAGCTTGACAGTTTTAGTTTTGACCCTGAAAATCATATTCCTTCCTTAGACAAATGGGTCATATAAATAAATTTAAAAAAAAAAAAAAATTAGGGACCCATTTGCCTTTTTGACCCATTCTTTGCACAATTTTACTGAAGAAGAACCACCTTGAATTCTGATTTGATGGTTAAGGTCTGATTATTATACCATATTTAGTTCCATCACTCGAAACTTTAGACATGACTATCACATACTTCTAAGACCCTAAACTGTGACAACTGCCTATGTACGACATGCACTACTTCATTTTACGTATCAAAAACACCCTAAACTCCCTTTCTCCTGCCCTAAGGTCTTGTCCATGTTTACACATTTAATAATTATGTTTTAAGTTTTTTATTTTATGGGGTTGATTTAATTAGTTTTTTTGGGTAGGTATCCTTTACATTTTTTAAAATTTAATTCTATAGAATATAAAATATTTTATCCCTCTTAATAAATGTATTTTTCGAGAATCGAATATATTTTTTTTTCTTTTATGGGAATTCTGACGATACACACTTTATTTATTGATATATAACTAAGATTAATTTAATTAGTTAATAAATAAGACTTGCTCTTTATTTTATTAAGTTTTGATTCTTGAGTTTAGTCAAGATGATTATTTTTTTTATTTATCAAAATTTTATTTTCGGCATAGATACTTTTGTCTTTTGATTAGATTAATTGATTTAATACATGTAAAAAATTAATTTGTATTTGCATTTTAATTTTTATATACTAAGCAGAAGTAAACTACATGTAATGTCTTTTGTTTTATTTTCCAAACTGAAGTTTACAATGTTAATTGGAATAATTTATCTCAAAATAAAACAAAACTTAAAACAATATATATAAAAAATAATTTGTAATATAACCAAAGAAAAAAGAAAATGTCTTGTCACATTTCTATAAACTAAAGAACCCTAAGCCTAAACTCATCATCAATTAGCATCACTACATTACCACATATAGGGAGAGAGAAAGGACCAGTGGTTAACAGGGTGAAACGAAAACTACCAAAGCCAAATCAAACATCAGATAAAAAGAAGATGTCTTCCCTTCTGTCCACAGCCCACAAACAAACCCTCTCTTCTGTGCCACCAAGAAAGTTTCATATCCTCAAACTCATAATAGTAACCTCCTCTATTACTTTCCCATCTCCCTTTCTCTTTCTCTCTTTATAACAATTATCTTCTTCTTCTTCCTCTGCACACTTATCTCCATTTACTTTGAAGAAAAGAAAAAGAACAAGAACAGAAAGAAAGATGGGGAGGGGCAAGATTGAGATCAAAAGGATTGAGAACACAAGTAACAGGCAGGTGACCTACTCCAAAAGAAGAGCTGGGATCATGAAGAAAGCTAAGGAGATCACTGTTTTATGTGATGCTCAGGTTTCTCTGGTTATTTTCGCTAGTTCCGGAAAGATGCATGAGTACTGTAGCCCTTCTACTTCGTATGTACATATAATAACTTGTTAAATGTCTCTCTCTCTCCCTCCCTCTCTCTCTTTTTTTTCTCTTGTAATTTATTTGTTTTTAATTTTCTTTCTTTCTTTTTTTTTTAAAAAAAAATTTTAAACCTGTAAAGATTGATTGAAATATTGGACAAGTATCACAAGCATGCTGGTAAGAGGATATGGGATGCTAAACATGAGGTGGGTTCTGATTCTTTCTTTTATCCTTTGTTTTTTTTTTTCTTCTTGAAAGCATGGGGAGTTCTAATGGAAAATGATATGGGTCTTTATTTTTTTTGCTAAAAATAAGATAGGAAACATAAACTATGAATCCTATGAACAGATCTACAAATGGGATCTGTATATTTTTACTGCTATAATAATATTGTTGAAAAAGAAAAGAAAACTAAAAATGGAATGAACTGCAACATCTAAATATGAGTAGATCTGGTAATTTATTATATTTATATATGTATCCTTCCTTTGCTTTGCAAAATTTGAAAGAACACTTTAGATCAGAAGTAAATGAAAGTTATTCCCATAAACGGATTTTTATGAGTTGAAATGATTTGTCTTTTCTTTATCTACACTACAAACTTCAAGGAGAGAGGGCCTGAACCTAGGGTTTTTCAATCAACTTCTTTCTGGGTATTTATGTATAAGAAGCACATACTAATTAACCATCATGTAATACAAAAGATCTGAATATTGGCTATCTTTGTTTTCATGGATGTTTATCCTTTTTAATGTTAATTATTGTGAAGACAATTTTAACATTTTAGGGTTTTTGTTAATAAACAAATGACAGAACCTGAGTAATGAGATTGATAGAATCAAGAAAGAGAATGACAGCATGCAAATTGAGCTCAGGTAAATCTTTCTCCTTCCCTAAATCTCTCTCTCTCTCTGTGTGTGTGTGTGCGTGTGTGTGTTTCTTTCTCATGAAGTATGATATTTGCAGGCACATGAAAGGGGAAGATATAGCTTCTTTGAACCACAAAGAGCTTATGCATATAGAGGAAGCCCTTGAAAATGGACTGGCCAGCATTCGTGACAAACAGGCCAGTTGTTAAATCTTTTTCACTTGATCATACTAGAAGAAAGAAACTATCTTGATAATCATATTCTCAGTACTAATTTAAACAAGTTCTGATTGTCCATTTTCTTGTCACAGATGGAATATTTGAAGATGATGAAGAAAAATGTATGAACATTAATTTTCCAATTTAGCCTAATTTCTCTTACTTAATATAATTTTTCTTTAAGTATATATATCTCTCTCTATATATATATGTATCCTTTTTAATATGTTTTTTCTTGTATCTAATAACTTCCAGGAAAAGATTTTGGAGGAGGAGAACAAGCGTCTGAGCTTTATTCTGGTATGTTCTCTTCATTTCATTTTATTCAAATTAATTAAGACTTAATTAATTAAGAATGATACATTAAGCGATTAATCAATAATTACTTTAGATGTTTGTGCATATATATACACACAAAGATACCAACAACAACAAGTCTTTCCTATTTTGCTAATAGGAAAGGTAGTGAGTGGTTTTCTTGGGTGAGTGCACCTTCTAATCTCTGTTAAATACTCAGTATTAATTAATTAAAGCCCATAAAAAAAATCAAGAAATGCAACAAGGTCACAAGTTGTGAAGATCTGACAAAAAAAAAAAAAAAAAAACCAATTAGTACCAAAAATAAGAGGAAGAGTGAAAAAAGAGTTTATGTACACTAATCAGTGCTTGATGACACTTAAAAGTTGGTGTCACCTCAAGGAACAATTTGTTTCACATCGGACTAATTAAGTATTCCAAGCCTGCTATTGCCCTAAATAGTAAAAATTTTGCACTCTGTATCATCCAGGCATAGCCTGATTGATATACCTAATAAAATATCAAGTGGGATCATAGGTTTCATGCTAGAGATTAATCATGACAAGAAAAAATTTTATATATGAATTGTAATTTTTTTTTGGTTTACGAGATTCGAATTCACATTCGAGCCTGGTTGTAATGATTCTAGATTTCGACCCTAACCTTGCAAGTTAAATTCATTTATCTGATGATCTAATCATCTATTGATTTAATATACCATTTGATTGTCAATGATCATTACTTTTAAGGAAAAATAGTCACGAATCTTGAAACGCACGAAAAGATACGAGAAGAAATATAAAAAAAAGTAATGATTTTTTATTTATTTATTTTTATTTTTTATTTATTTATTTATTTATTTTTTTGATACAGCAACAACAAGAAATGGCTATAGAAGAGAATGTGAGGGAACTGGAAAATCCTTATCATCAACATAGGGTGAGGGATTACAGCTCCCAAATGCCCTTTGCCTTCAGGGTGCAGCCTATTCAGCCAAACTTGCAGGAGAGAATGTAACATATATATATATATATATATATATGTGTGTGCGCGCGCGTGTGGATGCCTTAATTATGTGATATCCAAAACCTTTCTTAAATAAGCTTGTTAAAGTAGCTATTACTACAGTGCTACTAAGTTGTGTGAACTTGGCTTGATTAGACTACTTGTTAATTAATTAAGGCCTTCATGACCTTATTTATATTAATTTATAGTTTATTAAAATATTTTTCGTGGTTGTATAAAATTCTAGGGTATATATATGCTGTGATTGGATGATTTTTCCCAAATTATTTCCAAAAGACAATGTGGAATGTAGTTTTTGGGTTTTAATTTGAGGTGTTTAAAGCTCGTTTGTTTTTGAAAAAAATTTATCTCGAAAAATATTTTCTAAATGATTTTATTTTTCGACATTTTGTTGCAATATTAAAAATTAGTTAAAAAATATTAAAATCTTTAACTCATAAGATCATAAAAGTATTTATAATAATAGAATTCTATATTTTAAAAGTTTTATTGTTAAATATGAGAAAAATGTACCGGTGGCCGATGGTGCTAGTGACCGGTCGTGTGGCTGGTAGTAAATGGTGATGGCGGCAATAGCTACCTATGATTGATAAATTAAAAAAAATAAAATTATAAGGTTATGATAAATGATCGGAAAATATTTTACTCTCTTGAAAATGATGGTCATTTTCCTAAAAAATAATTTAATTTTCCTTCAATTTATTTTTTTTGAACACCCCAAATAACGGAAAATTATGAAAAAAATTTTCATGCGATTTATTTTACGAAAATAAAATTAGCCTGCATATGTTTTCATTTTCATTTTCTTTTCTTTTATTTCTTTAGGAAAAAAAACCTTAAAATTAAGGATATTTTCAGTTGCTCATATGAAGCAAGATTGAATCTTTTCTTTGGAGACATCTGCCTAATAGTTTTAGAAATATGTCTAGAAACGCTTCCAAGTGGCATTCAACATGAATTTTTAAGAACAACTATTTCCTATCCCTGCCAATTAGACTGATTTTTTTAAGGTTTTTAATCATATTCCACAACTAGTCGAAAAATCTCTTCTCGTGCACAGAAAAATATTATTTTATTAATTATTATAATTAATTATATTATTTTTCCAATAAACCATTATGAATTCTCAAACTGCTAAGGAGAAGTATCAACATCCTACTTGAAACAATTAACAATGGTAAATATCAAAATGATTTAAAAGAATTATGACATTATTTACAACGGTCTAAAATTTTAATCTATAACATTGTAATAAAGTTTTATTGTCAAAATAAAATCATAGTGGAGGAACTAACCACACATTTCATTTTGATACTTAGCAAAACCATAGAATATTAACTAAAGATTTACTTATCATTTGTGTTTCAGACAACATAAATTAATGCTGCAGATATATTTATTTAAATCATAAACCAAGGCTAAATTCCCTTGTATTTAACTTGTCCATCAGATTATTAATGGGACATGAGCATTTTATCAAGCACTACATAATTGAATTTAGTCAATCTATTCTGAGAATTGAAGAATAGCAAATTTTAGATGATAATATAATATTTGTTAAAAACGAAAATATTTGAAATGATAATGGAGGAGAGAAAAAAAAAAAAAAAAGATTACCCATATTCAATTTGATTTCTAATTCTTTAATTAACCATATTTAATTTAGCCAGAATTGAATTTTAAATTAATTTAGAACATAAAAATTGAGGTTGTGGTTAATTTATCTCATTTTAATTAGGTAAAAATAATAAGATATTAACTTTTATTTTTAAAATTAAAATTTTAAAAATAAGACTCAAAAAATAAAAAATAAAAATTGAATTATCGTTCTCTTTTTCCATCTTCGCAAATGGGGTATGTTGTTATTTTTTAAATAGATTAAAAAAGTAGAAAACTTAATAGTTTATTCATCTATTAAAATCGAGTAAATTGATGGATTAATGTATCAAAATACTCTGAACTTTATAAACTTTTATAATTTCACTCTATTTTGATATCTATATCAATTTTACCTTAATTTCAACACTTTGTAGCAATAATATCTTCAATTGCAATTAATGATGTAATAGCAAATAGAAGAATTAGAATCATTTTTTAGCTACAATATTTTATTTTTAAATAAATAAATAATAATAATAAAATATGAATTTTAAATGTCTTTTGAATATTAAATTATATTTCTTTTGAGTGGGTGACACATTTATAGATTTAGAAATTAAATATTAGAAATGTGGAACTAAAATAAGTAATAAGTTATTTATTCTTTTAGTAAATAAAAATAATAATTTAACTATATTATCGATCCAAAAAATTACAAGAATTGCGATCTTTTTTAACCTTACCATACAAATAATATGAAAATAAACTGCGTAATTGAAAAATTATATTTTATTAATTTAATTTTTATACCATGCTTTGAGTTTTTTTTTTTTCATAAGTAACAAAAAAATTATTTATTTAGTTATTACTTAGCACATCTATTTCAAAAATTAAAAATTTAATATATGCAACATCAATTGGGTAGACTAATAGAACATTTTTTTTTTTTTTAAATTCTTATCTGTGCCACATGATGACCTAAACTTAATAAGGGCGTCTTTGGTATTCTCAATATTCTCCCTCCTCATTTTAGTTTTTTGAACGTGCATTGCATATTATTTGTACTTATTAATTTTTATTTGTTTAAATAAATATAATTTTTATATATTAGTTTTTTTTATGGTGTGTGTTGCACATTGATTATTCTTGTTATGTACTATTTTTTGTACTTTTTTAAAATTTTTTTATTTATATAATATTAAATTATAATTTTTTATTTAAATTAAAATAAATACAATTAGTTAATTTGTATTACACTTTTCTGTACAAACTACTTGTAATGCTACTTTTTATGCAGTTAATTTTATTTTTATATAACGAAGTGATATCAAATTAAAGCTCAACTAAATCCCCAGATCCTTTAGTCCTTGATTTATAAATATAGATTTTTAAAATCTTAATAGGTGTCTAAAAAGCAAATAAGTCGTCTTCTAACCCTCTACTCTTAATCCTAAAGTCAATATTTATAAAGAAAAAATATTAATAAAATAATATACTTTTTTTTTTCTTTTTCATTCGATCAAACCATGCAAATAAAAAAAATATTTTTTATTTCTCTTTGAAATAAAATATTTTGAATTGTAATTAAAATAGAATTAAATATTTAAAAAATAAAAAATAAAATATTTTTAAATGATAAATAAATTTATTATCATTTATATTTATTAAGAATATATTTATTCATTAACGAAATTTATTATCAAATATTTAAAAATATAAAATATAAAAATATATTTATTATCCTTATCACATATATTTATTAAAAATAAAATTTAAAAAATATAATAGTTACAAATTATTCAGTAAGGAAAAAGAAAATAAAAATATTATTAAAAATAGAACTTTTTTCATAACTCACCTAACAAAAAAAAGTTTCAATATGCATAAATATATTCATAATAATTATAAAATATATTATATATATATATATATTATATATTATATATATATATATAATATATATTAATTTAAAATTATAAGTTTAAACAGTTCGTCAATCCCACATACATATATTCATCTTATTTAAAATATATATTATATATAAATGTGAAAATAGAGAGGATAATGGAATTTTTGAAATCACCTTTTATGAAATTTAAAATGTCTTAAAACATTCTTAATGCAATTAAAATTGATTAGTTGATTGGATATAATTTATGAAAATTATCTTTTAAATAAACATATATAAATAATTAAGCATTTCAAAAATTTAAATTTTAGTTAGAAAATTTTTAATTTTATTGGTATTTATCGATTGATTAAAAATATAAAATCACTAATACTAACTAATTTTTTTTTTTGAAGGTGATATTCTCGAACTTGCAGTAAGAAAAAAAATCAATGAAAGTAAACATCTAAAATTTTTTTTGTCCAGTTACAAGTAATTCTTGACTCAGTTGATCTAATCAATTTGAATTAATTAATTTTTCACTTCAAGAGTTCAATCATTGGCCTCTATAATTGATGTATGCTCTTGTTATGTTGCCATATTCTCCTTTGTATTTATGGGTAGGTCTTGGGCATTGAATTTCATTAGAAGCATCATTGGTGCATCATCTGTCTCAGAATATTTCAGCTTCACGGAATTTGTCTGTGACATCAATCTCTGTCACAGGCTTGGAGTCTGGCGCAGCACTACGCCCGTGCGGTGCCCCGGGAGCCTGCCCACTTGGCAATACTCTAGCTCTGAGGCAAACCTGCCATATCGTACCACACTGGTTTCGCCCTACCATGGGCTCATCAGGGGAGTGGCCCAGCTCCTGACCAGTTGTGCCCCGCGGCACAATACCCCACCTGCACGCAGGCTTTGCATGGAGTAAGGACCACTAGGGTGGAACAACGCCTTAATCGTTAAGCCTCCCCAACCCACGCAGGTTGAACGCAGCTAGGTACGTTCTTCAATGAGGGCCTAACACGGTCACGGAATTTGTCCGTGACATCCTTCCCTACTCAAACTGCGGCACGTCCTCGTGCCGAGGGAGAACGACTCGCCCTTGGACCGTTCTTGCTTTACGCCCCACTTTGACCCACTTCTCTGGCTCTACTCTGGCCAAGCTTGCTCCGATCCACATGCACGGTGCCTAGGACTGTGCCATTGCTTCGACATCGGATGGAGTAATGATGCCTAGGATTGGGGGATTGGGCCATTGCTTCAACATTGCTTGGAGTTATGGTGCCTAGGACTTCGCCATTGCTTTGACACCACATGGAGTCAAGACACAGGGCGGTACTTTGACATGGCAACCCTGGAGTGCGTGTTTAGTCGAGTGGACTCCGAAACGTGCAGCAAGTCGGCTCTGATACCACTCTATCACGGGCCTGGAGTCTCGCGCAGCACTGTGCCCGTGCGGCGCCCTGGGAGTCTTGGAGGGTTGGATGTACCTGGAATCAATAAGATCTTGGAGATGCTTTCTCAGTTCTTCCAACTCCGGAGGGGACATGCGATAAGGAGCCATGACTGGTGGCTTGGCGCCAGGCTACGGTCACGGAATTTGTCCGTGAGATTCTACTACTAATATTATTATGATAATGTTCTATATTTACCAAACACTAAAACAAAACTAAACAATTAATATAAGTAAATTGATATAGTTAATATATGATACATTTATTATGATTAGT